CTGAGGCTGTGCATGTAACACCTCCATTGAATAATCTGCATAAAAGAGCCTTGATGACGCAGCAGACTAAAGTACTGTTAAGTAACAGCTGCCTGCAATTACTGCAAGTTCAAATCTCACCAGGCTCAAGGTTGACTCAGCCTTCCATCCTTCCGAGGTAGGTAAAATGAGGACCTGGATTGTGGGGGCAATATGCTGACTTTGTATAAAAAAGAACACCACTTGGGGGGGGGGCGAAAGTCCTACTAAGCAAGTATATACAAAAGTATGAAGGCTATTGCTTAACGCATTGTAAGCCGCCCTGAATCTCCGGAGAAGGGCGGCATATAAATCGAACCAATAAACAATAAATAAAGTTTGCTTCCAGGTCCAATTCCAGGTGTTGGTTACCACTTTTAAAGCCCTTTATCACATGGGACCAAGATGTTTGATGAACTGTCTTGTCCCAATTACATGAAGAGTGAAGACTGGCTCTGCCAACTGGCATGGGGATCAAAGAATGGTAGGAAACTTTGGGGGCTCCCTCCACCTTTTAAATTCTGTATTTAATACTGTTTTAACTCTGGGGTTTTTTTTTAAGTGTATCATTTTGTATGGTTTCATGGCTTTGAACTGAAACCATCTAGAGTTACTCAGATACTGAGATCGGTGGTGTATAAATTTGATAAATAAATACATTTTGTACTTCGATATCCACCTGTGTCAAGGTATTTGTTGGGGGAAAACACTGTTAGGAAAAGAATGCAAACCTATTAGTTGTTTGAGGCTCAAGAAATGAAGCTGCTTGATTATCTAAATAAAATGACTGAAAATGCTTTTTGCTGTCTTTTAAGCAAATAAAAAAGTGGGGGAAAAAACCCATGGAAAGCTGTGTGGGACTTCCTTCTTTCAAAATTAGGTAAATAGCCTTCACATTAATATATGGTCAAGGTCAACCTTTCATTCCTGGCTAGCTTCTGTAGTGATGAGATCTCATGAGAAAGAGGCAGGGTCATCTTTCATGCCAATATCTGCTAGCTTAATATTGACATTTCACCCCAGTTTAGTCTTATTTTTTTTCCCTGCTATGATCTGCAACAAGAAAAGAAGCCTAGACTACAAGGCCATTTGAGAGATTTGGTTTAATCTCCAAGGTCTGAATGTTCTAAATCTATCATACTGATCATCATGGAAAATGATTATTGAAAAACACTGTTAACATTTCTTCGGCTGAAAAAAATTGTAGGCAGATTTATTTTTTTCTCACAATAACAGACATATTATTCTTAAAACAGCAATATTAATTATTTCATCTTGCTTATTGTAAGCAAAGGAGGAAAGATCTCTTTTTCCACTGAGTTAGCAATATGCCATTTTCCAAAGAATTGATAGCTTCCTTAACATGGGACCTGAAGTAGAAACGACTTCCTATGGAAGGGTGTTAATGAACTTGATCAACATTTATAATATTTTCATTATATTTACAAATAGACAGGATCAACAAACTAGAGGCATGAATATTCCAAAAGATAACCAAACTCTATTGGTCCTAACTTTCACAGCTGGGTATGGAAATAGAAAGATATGCCTCTTCTTTAATTGTTTTTTTCTTTTTAGTACATTCCACATATATGGTCTCGGAGAGACACTTGGTTAACTACATAGTTCTCTTAACAATGTATTACCTGAGGTTTATCTATCAAATGATGCACCTTGTTCTACCTGATCAGCAGGTTTGTCCATTACCTCCAACTTGTTCAACTCCCAGGTTCATGGCAATAATCAATAGTAATATGGCTGACATGTCAGAGGGAAAAAATACTTGTTTTTTTCCCTTAACTTTACTTTGTCTAAATCAAAAATAAGCAAACTTTTCTCCCTCCAAGGCTGCATTCCTTGAGGAAACTGCTATGGCTACAATGTGCAATAGTTGGATGAGGCCACAAGTAGGTGGAACTGCCCATCTTCTCTCTCTCAATCTTCATTTTCAAATGAGGCCAAGGACTACATGAAGTGAAACTGCGAAATATAGTTGGATTTAAGGCTGGAGGTTGTGCTCCCTATTCTATGTAGAGTGAAGGCAATTTTCAAATCATTTTATGCTAATTAGTAGCCAGTCTCCACTACCAATAAAAGGTGTTTCAGTCCAGAAAAGTTTTACTACTTGATTCTGAGCAAATTGAGTAATCTTCAATAAACATATGGGGTAGACATGTAACCCAGCCCTGTAGGTGTGCCTATAACTGACAGATAACTACTTAGTTTTGCTTATTTTAGGATGAGTGACTGATTGAAAACAAGTAACCTGGTTCAGATGTAAATATTGAACTGGATTGTTTTGTTTTATTTAGGATAACAAGTCTCTCAACCATAATCCCCCCCTTTCCAATAACTGGAAACATTCTTAACAATATAATTTACAAAGTCATTTGTTACCGAGTTCCCATTTGTTTGAACTGCATTCTTTGTCCTTGCTTAGTTCCAAGCCAACTAATAGGTTTCCTCAACTTTGTGAGTAATTATACCTACAGTACATACTTTTTTATACTATTGATTGTTGTGTGCGAGAAACATTATTTTCTCTGTCACTTTGGAAAAAGAAAGCTGGGTGTGGTATAATTCTCATTACGCCTTTCTAGCTTAAACAAATCCATGACATGGAATGAAAATTCTCTTTGAGTTGAGCTCTTTTTTAGGGGGGACTTCGTGGAAATGTGTGCAGAATTTTCTTTGCACTAATACAAAGTTGGTTTACCATTTCCCTCAGATTATTTTTTTTAACTTCCTAATCTACGTTAAAGCCCTGGGATTCCCTGTCGATTTTCTATCCCAATACGTACTAAACCTGAACCATCTCAGCATTTTCTGGTATCAGCCACATTTGGCCAACAAATTTAAACACCTCCTAGAATCATGAGCAGGGCTGGATCTGGGAAATTTGAATCCTCTTCTGCAGGAAGAGATACAATGTGACAAAGAATGACTACATCGAAATTAATATTCTTATGTACAAACCAAAATGCCCAGTATGGATTACTAGTATTGTTAATAAAATCCATCTTTTTAAGATGAGTTATTGCAAAAGCGCAGAACTAATTTAACCAAGTGATGTGAGGAAAAGAATAATAGCTCTTTACACAAAGCCTAGAGTAAAAACCTTTACATTTCATCATATACTGAAACACTGTTTAGGCACCATGAAACAGGAGGGTTTAGCCATCTAGACAAACTCTGCCCCCTGCAAGTGTTTGTGACACCTGAATGGGATAAATGCATATAATTTTATATCTATATCTATAGACAGGGTTTTCTCTTTCTTTTCTGTTTTTCTGTCTTTCCTTCCTAATGAGCACCCATAGAAACAATCAACATCAAAGTACCATCGACACTTAAGTATCACCCAAAGATTCTTGAAATTAAATGTGTTTTATCATGATTTTTTAAATGGTCAAAATCTCATGAGAACTCAAATCTTACAAGATTCACATGGCTTCACATGCAACTTTGCAAGATATTGGAAAGTGGACATTTTTCAACATCTGTGCCATCATCTGAGATCCTATAGTGTTTCCTGTTAATTGAACAGATTACCAACCCCTGATCTGAATACAGGCACTATATTGTAATATGTCTGGGAAGATACTTTTATTGAATTATTGTATTGATCTATACAGAGAAGAGTGACAATGATGATTAGGGGACCAGAGGCTAAAACAATATGAAGAACGGTTGCAAGAATTGGGTCTAGTTTAATGAGGAAAAGGACTAGGGGTGATATGATAGCAGTGTTCCAAAATCTAAGAGGCTGACACAAAGAAAGAGGGGGGGGTCAACTAATTCTCCAAAGCATCTGAAGGCAGGACAAGAAGCAATGGATGGAAACTAACCAAGGAAATAAACAATCTACAATTAATGAGAAATTTCCTGACAGTTAGAACAATCAGTAAAAGGACTTGCCTCCAGAAGTTGTGGGCACTCCAACACTGGAAGTTTTTAAGAAGAGATTGGATAACCATTTGTCTGAAATGGTGTAGGGTTTCCTGCCTGAGCAAGGGGTTGGCCTAGAAGACCTCCAATGTCCCCTGTTACTCTGTCAAGGTTGATTAGACTAAAATTAATCCAAGTTGCAGGCTTGAGAAGCTGTTGCTTCCCTATGGGAAAACTTTCCCTAGCATACCGAAGTAAGGTCTTGATTGATTGATTGATTGATTTGGCTATTTGTTTACTTACTTATTATTTGTTTTTCGACATAGTGCAGGGTCTTTGTGGTTATGACAGAGTTTCCTTGATTCTTCCCCTTATTGAAAATTCAATTATACCTTTTCATATATTGTTTTCACCCTTACACAAAAATCCTTTTTAAAGAAATTATCTAAATAATTAAAACATCTACATCGCCATTCATTTAGCATTTGACCTGGGTTGTCTGGGAAGTTTTTAAGGAACAGCTTTAATCGTTAGTCTCTTTCTATTTTTGTTCTGTAATATTGTTCTAGTGACTGCTACTTTCAGCTTGAGTATTCATTTAAAAGGTTATTTGGAACCTGTGTATTCAGGATAGAACAACCCCACCCAATATTTACGTATTATTTAGGAGTCCAAGGTAATATCCTCCTGTAGTGCTCCCTCCTCCCATTTTCTCTTATTAACAAAATTCCTGAGAAGGAACTTGGGTTAAGCAAAGGTGCATGACCCAAGGTCATCTATTGAGCTCCTGCAGCTGAGGAAAGACTTGAACATGGGCCTAGCCCAAACTCTTTACCATTCCTCCACCATGACTCTCAGGAAGGGCAAGATCCTTGAATTGCATCTTCTCTTTGACCTTATTAAATGGCAAAAGACGTGATGAACTTTGCTTTTCATGTCATCTGAATTTCTTCAATGGTCATAGCAACTCCAAATAAAGTAACACAGCATCATCTCACAACCTGTGCACCTGCTAAAAATTCTGAAACTCCACCTCTCTGGGAGCTTGTGAAACTATCTGGGAACTCAGCCAGAGTCCACACGCCTGCTATATAAGAGGCATCAAAAGACAAGTGGCTTCTCAGAAGCCCGTCATATAGTACATGCTGCCAAGCTCCCCAGGCAAGGATGGGGATAGGCAGGGGGACTCGAATACAACTATGGATACCCATACTAATGATCATCTTAAGCCATCAGAAAGGTAGGAAATTTTAAGAGAAGTTCATTTCCTATCATTTGGAAGACATTCAGCAAATGCCTGGCTTCTTTGAAGGTCTGATGATTTTACACTGTTTTCTTTGCTTTGCCTCATTAAATGTTATCAGGACTTGAAAAACACTTGCTTGAGTTTGCCTATCAATCACCAATATTCCAGCTTTTATTGACACACCGAGCAGTATTTTGATGGATAAAAATGATAAAAAGAAAAGAAAAACCGGTGGTTAATGGAGCCGCTGCAATATGAAAATTAATTCTCTCTTTTATGTACATTTTTTTCTGCAAGAATAATTACAGTTTATCCTATGTGAATGTGGAAACTTACAAACTTGAGACGGTTAATAAGGCAAATAAAAACACTGCATTGTTTAGATGGCATTGTTAAGCTCTTGGAGTCTATTGCAAAGTTCATGCTATTTTTGATGAATTAGAAATTCAACATTGAATAAATTGTATTTAAAATTATCAGCCATTCAAGGAATGTGAACTTTAGGGCCTCCTGGGATTGTGTACCGTCCTTTAATATATCAGTCATTTTTTAAAATAAAGAACAGACCTTTATTTCATATGATCTACAGAGACAGCATACTCTGAAAAGATTATGTTCTGGGTGTTTTCCTAAGCATCTAACTTCATTTCTTAGAGAAAGTCAGGATGGAAATTATGAGGGTTAAAACTGTTCAAAACTTTACAACATGTAAAAAACTGATTGAAACCATGACCAGAAATATTTATCTTTAGTAGTATCTCTATACATTGTCTTCTTGAGAAAATACTATCTATTTTTCTTCCCTCCCTTTCATACTTGAAATAAGTGCAGGTCTCTTTTGAAACTTCAGGGGCTTTGATTATATCAATAATTATGATTAATAGTGCCTCGCACCAGGGCTGTTTATGTAGGCTACATGGAATGTGATATACTGATACCTTAGCAGATCTGCCTGAATTAAGATTCCATTTCCTTCTTTTATCCATGCATACTGGACAAGTAGCATTAAGATCAGTGCAGTTATTGCAAAACACTTTTACACAGTTTCTACTCAAGGTACATGTAATAAGAAGTTGATAGGAAGTTTTCTAAGAATTATAAAAGAAGAAAATGCAAGATTTTAATATGCTTCTGCTTTCTGCATAAAATTCAGGACTCATTGTGGTAACATTGAATGATAATAATAACTTTATTGTCATTGTATGTGTATACACAGTATACCCATACAACAAAATTCACTTAATACCCAAAGACCAGGTCCAACACACATAACAATCCCCAAACACGCTCTCATCTACTACAATTCGCCAAGGCTCAAGGTTGACTCAGCCTTCCATCCTTTCTAAGGTAGGTAAATTGAGGACCCAGTTGTGGGGGCAATAAGCTGACTTTGTATAAATATACAAAAGGATGAAGGCTATTGCTGAGCACATTGTAAGCCGCCCTGAGTCTTCGGAGAAGGACGGCATATAAATCAAATTAAAAAAAAAAAAATTCCCCACCCTTAAACCACCCAAACTGCTGCGATAGTAGAACAGAAGTAGATGCTGAGATAGATTTATCTCAACTTTATCTGAAGTTGATTAATATCAAAGAATTTTGATTTATTGGAATGAAGTCATTTAGAATTTATCAAAATCTAACATTATTCATTTTGGATGGTAATTGATATGTTAGTGAGAGTATAAAAGTAAGACTTAAAAGCAGTAAAAAGATAAAATATATTTTAGGTTCATCTCCTCCTCCTTTCTTCATTATTGTCATCATCATTATCATTATCACCACTATTCTTCTCCTCCTCCTCCTCCTCATTGTTCTAATGTAGCATTTATTTATTTATTTATTTATTTATTTATTTATTTATTTATTTATTTATTTATTTATTTATTTATTTATTTATTTATTTATTTATATACCGCCCTACTCCCGAAGGACTCAGGGCAGTGAACAGCCAAATAAAATACATATAATACAAATGTTAAAAAACCATTAAAATACAATTAAATAATTGGCCCGGAAAACAAAATTTAAAACACCCCAAATTCATAAGACAAATTTAAAATTGAAGAATTTTAAAATTTTAAAAAAGTTTAAAAGAGAGGTTAGGCCAGGCCGGCCTGCTGGAAAAGAAATGTTTTGATGGCACGGCGAAAAGCGCGCAGGTCCGGGATCCTCCGTATCTCCGGGGGGAGCTCGTTCCAGATGGCGGGTGCCCCCAAAGAGAAGGCTCTCCCCCTGGGGACCGCCAGTCAACATTGTTTGGCCAATGGCACATTTCAACCAGGACAGACAGAAATATCATTCCATTCTATATAAACTAATAACACACTGTAGACATATCCATCATAGCCTATTAGTAAAATATATAAAATAACTTAAATTGTAAGTTATTTTGTATTAACAATAGACTTAAAATAAACTTCTAATGTACATGCATAGGAATCAGTTTGTGTGTTTGCATTTACATATGCATATATACAATATTTAGAATAATCTACAGTTCTGGCTACTTTTTTATAAGAAAGGAATAGAGCAAAAATATTTAGCAGCATAGTATTCTTCTATAGGAGTAAAATCAGTTGAAAATGTTTAAGTTTAGGGGAATGGTTGACTAAAAGGTGATTCATACTAGTAAACTTCGAAATGCTCTTAAGAAAGAAGTTCAAGAAAGTGTTCCTCCCTTCTCTTGTACTAGAATAGGAATACTCAATGAAATACACACATGGCAATTGAAGAGAGACTAAGGAATGTATTTCGCCACCTGGCACACAATTATGGAACATGATGTTACAAGCCAAAAGAATTGTCATTGTCTTGAAATAGTTGTAGACTTCCATGTTCAGAGGCAGCACAAATTAAATTTCTATTTGTAGGGTGAAAGCAGAGGAAAAGGGTCCATTAACCCTGTGCTACTTTCTAGAAGCATTTTGCTGAGCATAACTAGAAAGGTGGATGGTAGACTAAAACGTACTACTAGTGTGGCTCAAGTTTTGATACTATTGAGTTCTAGATGGAGACAAGCAGGCTTCATCTCTCAAAACTTACTTTTATAGCATTTTTAGATGCTCTACATATTAGCAAGTTATTCCAATATGGCTATAGTTACTATGACCAGGTTCGTGAAACAAAAAGGAGAAAGAAACAACTGACTTTGAAATATGTTGTATTTAGGACCAATAATACCAAGGGGGATTGCAAAAATATGTAACAAGACACTTGGTAGATTGTTTCCAGACTTATTTATAGAGAGAGTAGAAAAACTGAAATCAATAGGATTTTAGTGAGTTTTGACTGATGGAAATTTCACTGATTTTAAAGAAGCTGCCACATACATATTGAAATGCATGCACATCCACAGCAGAATTGCACAGACAGATTTGTCATACCTGAAGGAAAGAGAGGGCGGAAGGAGGAAGGGAGAGACTTTAAATTGGAGGAATTACAAATTTCATACTTGTATAATGTCAGATCAAATTGATCTGCTGTTGCTAGGATGCTCAATGTATTTTATATGCCTGGTGAAAGGATAGGGTTTTCAAAATAATGAGGCCAAAACATTGAAATACTTCACTGAACATTTCTCTAGAATGCCTTCCTTTCCTCCTAGATAGCAAGCCAAAGAGCCATTCTATAGCTGTGTTTTCGAAGGAGAAATGAACTGCCAATAAAGGAGAAGATTTGTAGCTCAGGGGTGAAATGTGGGGTCCTTGGTACTAATGATGTTAACTAGTTTGGATCAAGAAATGCCTGCAAGAAAACAACAAAGCTCAGAGGGCACCAAGGACCCCTCAGAAGTGAACTAATTCAGACGCTTGTTTTTCTATCCTAAATTCTATATTTCACTGAATACATTTAACTGCTTTAAGGGCTGATTGATGAACAGAGAAAATAAAATATCCCACAGAATAAGTAAAACACTAGAAGGACAATACTATTTTGCAGAATTGTTGCGGGTGAATTTTTCTTGTGAAGTCCATGACCATTAATGCTTTGCTTTTCTAATTATTGCTGCAGTACATGCCCAGTATGAGGATCAGCAATCCCAGTATGAGGATCAGCAATCCCAGTATGAAGATCAGCAGTCCCAATATGTGGACCAACAGCCCTTCAGTTCTGAGGAGCAGCAGGTGCAGCAGACACGTGACTGTAGGTATCTGTAACATTATGTACAGGGCAGAGCAAAAAGGTGAAAAATAAGACTGCATGGCCCCACGTTCCTATTGATCTTTCAGGAAGAGAAGCAGATTTTGCAGATTGATATCTTTGATTGAGCAACAAGATGTAGACACAGAAAGCATTGGGCTTTTTCTTAGAACAGCAGCATGGTGAAAGGAGCAGCCTGATTAAAGCATGATTAAGTGATTAAGACCTGGAGACAAAAACATATGAAGAACCATTACAGGAACTGGGGTATGGCTAGTCTGGAGAAAAGAAGGACTGTGGGGGGACATGATTGCAGTATTCCAGTAGTTGAGGGGCTGGCACTAAGAAGAGGGGGTCATCTTATTTTCTAAAGTACCAGAAAGCAAGACAAGAAAGAATGGATGAAAACTAATCAAGGAGAGAAGCAACCTAGAACTAAGAAGAAATTTCCTAACAGTGAGAACAATTAACTAATAGAACAGCTTGCCTTCAGAAGTTGTGGGTGCTTCGTCACTGTTTTTAAGAAAACACTGACAGCCACCTGTCTAAACTGGTATAGGGTCTCCTGCTCTAGCAGGGGGTTGGACTAGAAGACCTCCAAGGGCCCTTCCATCCCTATTCTGATTAAGCACAGAGGAGAGAGAGGAAAAGAGCTGTCAGACCAACAGCGAGGCATACCATTTCAAGTCACTCTTCTCTTTACACAGTGAATCTATTTTCACAAAGCGTTTCAGAGATAAGGAACTAGTAGAGCCAGTAAGATCCAACCCCTTGCCAAAACAGGCCATTCATAATTACACAGATGGTCATCCAAACTCCATCATTGGCACTTGTGCCACCAGGAAGTTATTTTTAAATTAAAATTTCCTAATATATAACATTCACCACCCTCCTTCTCTCCTTTTCTCATTCTGTAATGTGAACTCATTGTTTTGGGCCCAACAGCAACTACTACATTTGCTTCATCACCTAGGCATAATAGCCCTTCAGATATGAAGATGGCGATCATATCACCTATTAATCATCTTCCCCCTCAGGCCAATGGGAAGTGGAGCGGAACAGGAATGTAGGCATCAGCCCAAGGTATAAGAAGGCAAGAACTTGCAGACTTTATTAGAGCTGGGCATTGTTTGAGCTTAGCTGGGCAGAAGAATCATAAACACAGGGATTTGACAACCAGCTGTTCTCTCATAGTAAGGCTTCTATCTCTTTAAAGTGAGATGATAGAAAGAAGGACTAAGTGGCAAGAAGTTTAGTACAAAGAAGCAGGCAACAGCTTCTTCCATCATCCTTCCACATACATATAGAACATGTTATACAACTAAGACATTACCAGGCTCAAAGTATCACTGAGAAAAAGCTTCTCTTTGTTGGGGAGAGCCAGTCAAACAATCCTGTATTCTTACTTCCCTCAACCGGTCCTTTTAATTGTTTTTGTGATTGGCAGCTGTTCAGCACATTAAAAGCAAAATTAACTGTTCACCTACCTTCAAAGTTTACTTCATGCAAATAATTGCACATCCTGCAGCTGTTCTTTCCATTTAAAATGAAAGTGGAATCTTCCAAATGAGAGTTTGGTTAGCAAAAATGATGTTTTTTTAAGATGGGGCATTGCAAATAACATTATGTTTACAATGAATTTTCGTCAGTTAAGCAGCATACTTACAAACCACAGATGTATTTAATCTAAAACCGTATTTGAATAATCTTGTTGAACAAATATATTCTGTGTAGTGTGGCTATGTAAGCAATACACCCATGATAGTAAGTAATTTAAAATTAGTTAGCCTTTTGATCTTTGTCATTACACCCCTTCCAATTTAGAAAAGGGCAATTTTCAAATCTATAACTCTTTGGTTGTAGTAAGAAAGGTTTGGATAGAACTGTTACAGAATCATTAAAATTGAAGAAATTAAAATGAGAATAAGGCATATACTGTATCTGCTAAAATACAACATTTAAGATATGTCTTTATCTGGGAAATAGATGATTTTTTTTCTTGGTTCAGCTCTAGATTTTGATAAATATTATCCACAAATCTAAATCTAATTTTCCAGTCAGTTTTTTTTCACATGTATTATGAAAAGAAACATCAAAATGGGCCTTAAAGTAGTTTAAGGCATGCATTTCATTCAATTCACTTTCTATATGAGATTGAAATCAACTCAACCTGAAGCCTCCATTAAATCATTAAACCTTTCAACCATAGAAAAACTATACTGCCACAATCATGTGGTGCCAAATAGTAAGGACTGGTTCTTCAGTTATATAGATAAGTGGCAAATACGAGTTGCTCTGCAAATGGAAGGGTGGAGAAATCTTGCATGATTCTTATGTTAAACAGATTAGGCTGTGATGAAAAGCAAACTTGGGATGGTAACTGCTTATTGGCAAGCAGCCACACTTAACAGCTTCTGGGTAGATTAAGACCACGGTGAATGAAAAAATAATAGAAAATGCTTGGAGCAGTGTTTATGCTTGTGGGCCTGACCAGGATTGTCAGTTGTTGATTTCTTCTTGTATTTCTGAGAGAAAAAAAATATTTTTTGTGAAAATGTTGCTGATGGTGTTAGCCTTAACATTTTTTGGGGGGGGTCAATTTCTTCTCTCAAAATGGCTTAATAAAGGTCTAGGGCAGTGATGGCTAACCTTTTCTGGACCGAGTGCCCAAAGTGCATGTGTGTGTCCAAACCCCCCAAATGCAATGCGTGCGCAGTCCCACACATGTACCTCACCCCTGCACATGCGCACGGCTCTGCACATGCCCTGTCCCCCTGCGCATGTGTGCATGGGCCTCCGCATGTGCCCCGCCCCTGAACATGTACAAGTCCCCCCCACATGCATCATGCCCTTGTGCACGCAGCCCCCCACATGCACCCCATCCCCCACACATATGCACATACCCCCCTGCACACACCACACCCCCTGCACATGTACAGCAGAGACCTGACGACCAGCTGGCCGGTGGGAGGCACGCACCCATGCACTGTGGAGCTGAACTGGGGTGACAGCTCGCGTGCCCACAGAGAGGGCGCTGAGTGCCACTTGTGGCACCCATGCCATAGGTTCGCCATCACAGGTCTAGGGACTACAAAAAAAATCATGACAAGATTCTTTGGTTGAGCAGCCCTGTATTTGAGGGATCAGGACTCCTTTCCTCATACAAAATTCAATAGTCACTATTTCAGTAGTGATTTAAGTTCTTGGTTCAAATTTGTCAACAAAGATATTTTAAAAAACAACATTTTATTAGAATTTTGGAATAAATAGAAGTATAAAAAGAAGAAAAACAGGAAATAGAAAAAAAGGAAAAGTGAAAAAAAGAAAAGAAAACATAATTTGGACTTCTGCCCTTCTTTCTGTTGTGTAATTTCCATCTGGACAAAGAAATATTCTTTAAAGATAATCACATTTGGCCAAGAATTGAAATACTGTTCCACTACCCATTTATAAAGAAATTTAAGTGCAGAAAGGGATTCATTCTTTCACATTTTGATATGGATTGCACAATGGAAAAAAAATGTTTGCCAACATGCCTACTTTTATATAAGACATCACTTTCAGAATTAAGCTTACTTATATGAAGACAAATTCCCATAATTTTAGCACTGATGATGATTTCATATGGTAACATCACAGTTACCATATGAAACATTACAGAGTTTGATTAGAAATGTAATTGAATGATATTACTATTGTAATGCTCTCTACATGGGGCTCCCCTTGAAGAGCACTCGGAGGCTCCAGCTGGTCCAGAATGCGGCCACGCGGGTGGTTATGGGTGCACCTCGTTGTGCCTGCGTGACACCCCTCCTGCGCGAGCTGCACTGGCTCCCAGTGGTCTTCCGGGTGCGATTCAAGGTGTTGGTTACCACCTTTAAAGCGCTCCATGGCACAGGACCCGGGTACCTTCGAGACCATCTTCTGCCACCAATAGCCTCCCACCGACCAGTCCGTTCCCACAGAGAGGGTCTCCTCAGGGTGCCATCAGCCAAGTTATGTCGGCTGGTGACACCCAGGGGGAGGGCCTTCTCTGTGGGAGCCCCAACCCTGTGGAATGAACTGCCCCCGGAAATACGTAAGATCTCCAACCTCCAGGTGTTCCGCTGCGCACTGAAGACCCTGTTGTTCCGCCAGGCAGGGCTGTCAATATAATAATTTTAAATTGGGGTATTTTAATTTTTGGGGTTTTAAATCGGCCAAATCTATTTAATTATTTTAATTTTTAATTATTGTTGTGTCTTGTGTTTTTAAATTGGCTGTACACCACCCTGAGTCCTTCGGGAGAAGGGCGGTATAGAAATAAAATTATTATTATTATTATTATTATTATTATTATTATTATTATTATTATTATTATTATTATTATTATTATTATTATTATTATTATATATTACTATTTTCACTATTTTTTTTATTTGAAAACTTTGTTACAAGAGTTTTCGTACTTTTTGTTATTGTACATATTTATTCAGCAAAAGATCCCACTAAATTCAGAGTAACTTAAATTATGACCAGGAAATTCAGAAAGCTTTGAATTGTCAAATTTATTTCTTAATGTATTTATTTAAAATAAATAAATGCTTCCCATCTCATTTACAGACAACTCTGGGTGGCTTAGAAGCATTAAAAATTGGTAAACATTAAAATGATAAACAATAAACAACAATAGTAACAACAGTAAAAATGGGGAGGAGGGAAACATGAAGTACCTCAGGAAGAATTCTTCTCTTAATCTATGGTAACCTCCAGAGTGGTATATTCCTATTTGGGGCCCAAACCAAGTTGCATAGCCAGCTCTTCAGCCCTTGTGGAAGATCAGGAAGGTGGGTGCAGATCTCACCTTGGGAGGTATGATGTTCCAAAAGGTAGGATCCATGGCAGAAAAGGCTCTTCTTCTGGACATCTGGACTGCAATTTGATGAAGAAACTATAGTTATTCCTTCAACCTGAACTCTAAGAATTGCACTGTATTCTTTGGAATTCCAGTTCAGAATATTCCAATTACTCAGCTAATCAGAGAATGAAAGATCTGCCAAAATAAATATTAAACATTTATAAATATTAGAGTTGCCTTGAACTGATAGGTGACAAATAAATCTGATCATAATAGAAAGAAATAAAAATAATTGTATGCTGAATTTAGAGAGAGAAATGTCACTAGAAAATGTAATCATTAGTGAGGTTTAGAAATACTTTGTGGCATCGCAAAAATGTTTGTTCTGTAATAGAATTTTTTTCTTTCAGATTTTACCACATTAGCTCCCACAAGTCCTGTGAGCATGATCCCTGCCTTGAGAACAACAATGGTTATCAATGGTTGGTCAAAGATAATATTTTTATATTGTAAAAATAGTTTTAGATTACTTGCTCCATATGAATTGTTGAGTTCACACCAGTAATGTGATCTCAGAGTGAAAATAGAAGACTTTAACATTCATTAGGAACAGAGCAATCAAAAAGAAGGGTGGAAGGGAAGGAAACTCAATGGCAAATAGTAACGAATAATCACACTGAAATGTTGCTTCATGTGAATGATTGAGGCTACGTATTCTAGAAAAGACAGCCATTTGGTATAATGGTTAAGGCATCAGGCTAGAAACCAGAAGAGCACCTTAGGAACAAAGCCTTGAGCCAGTCACTTTTTGTCAGCCCTAGGAAGAAGGCAATGGCAAACCACTTCCAAAAAAAAAAACCCTTTCCAAAAAACTGCAGTGATTTTTCTAGGCAGTCTCAAGTAATTGGTCATGATTGAAGGGGTGGAAAAAAACATCTTAGAGGAGTGGATGAGAAAATAAATGGATGGATGAGGGGGTGGGTTGACTGAGTAGGTGGCTAAAGAGGGTAGTCTTGAACAAAAGATTTTACATATTACTTTGAATCCACAGCTGGAAACTCAGCTCATAATCATAGAGTGTGCAGCACTTGGGGCAATTTCCACTTCAAGACCTTTGATGGAGATATCTTTCAGTTTCCTGGACTCTGCAATTATGTCTTTGCATCCCACTGCAAATCCTCTTATGAAGACTTCAATGTGCAAATAAGACGCTTGGTGGTTAAGAATGTTACCGTTATAAGCCATGTGGTTTTAAAACTTGATGGAGTAGCTGTTGAACTGACCTCAAGTTCCGTTACTGTCAATGGAGAACCGTAAGTTTCATTATTTAAACAAATATATTTTTGTTATTTCGCAGCCACAAATTCCAGTCACACCAGGGCAAGGAGGAAGAATGCCATTTCATATTTTGCTCGTATTTCAGTTTGACATTTGTAAATGAGATATTTCCTGTAAGTGCATTTCTGTCACTTTCAGTTGCAATGTGCTTTATTTCCAGGGTTCAGCTGCCTTACAATCACTTAGGAGTTCTGATGGAAAGAATCTCAGGTTATCTTAAGATCCAAGGGAAAATAGGAGTCACCCTGTTGTGGAATGAAGATGATTGCCTTTTGGTAAGAACCTATTCTAGATATGGCAAGGAATTCCTATTATGGTTTTGGAAATGACTTGTGGATCTTTGCTTACACACATACATTATGTCTGTCTTTCTGTTTGTCCGTCATCCATCCATCCATCCATCCATCCATCCATCCATCCATCTATCAATCATCTATCTATCTATCTATCTATCTATCTATCTATCTATCTATTATCATCATCTACATATACTGTATATACAGTGTGTGTGAGAGAGTGTATTTCTAAGTATGTTATGTATTAAAAAATTATAGACAACAAAAAAAGCACCCATGGATGTTATTTTGCAATTAAACATTCTTGACGGATAAGAATAGTAAGTTATTAAATTTATATGCTGTTTAGGAGTTGTCCCCACAAACAGTTGTATCTTCCCAAATGTTTCTCAAAAAGTACTGATTTTTTCAATTGGCTTTGATACTCTTTGATTTGATTGAATATAAATCTAGTCCAATATAAGTGATCTATACATATGGATTGCTTCCTTATTTAATTGATGTTCTTAATTGCATGTCTGTTCTTGAAAATATCTTTGTTTGCACAATTAGATAATAAAAGAATAACGGTGAGGCTAGGACTATCAGATATAAGTTTCAAAAATCTGGATGATCACTTAGATGGAAGCAAAAAACGGAAACGTTTTCTACATCTCACTGCTGTCATTTAGTGATTAGTCAAATTTTGCAGCCCAAAACTAGGAGCCTTAATGGTACAGGAATTAAGCAAGGCTGTCTTTTAATGAAGTGTAAGGAGAGTACTAATTACAAAGAATGGCAGTGTTGCACATTCTTTGTTGTGGTAGTTTTTACTTTTTATTTCTTTCAGAATTAAGGAATAATCCATTAACTCAAGGGGCTCTGTAACCAATTTATTGGTTTTGCTGTCACCACCAAACCTTTTCCTAACTTGGAAACAAGCGTGTTTTTCCTTCTCTATCTTGTTTTTTAAAATGGGCACAGAGGTTATATGACTAGAATGGAATCTGAAGAACATACAGAAGAGCTCAGCAACCTCATTAATGTTTAAACAAAGAATCAAATGATTTTTTTAAATTCCTAATATTGAGCATCAGAACCTTTCTCCTCTCAGGAAGAGAAAATACTAGCAAATGCCATTGTTCTCATGATGATTTGGAAGGTATCCTTCAAATCACATAATTCGGTGAAGAGCCTTCCAAACCATTGCAAGAATGGGCCCTGCATGAAGGATGGAATGAGGTGACAAAAAAACCTCCACAGGTGTGGTGGGGCCGAGAGAGGTTTTTCAGATGCCGGTGGGTGCCAGGCCTCCAAGGGCCTCCTCTACTCCCTGAAGCACCCCCATACAGTCACTTAATGACGTGCATGGTTGCTTAACGATGGCAATAGGTAGATCCTGGATTGTGGCCAGTTGAGCAAGATGGCTTAGTAATGACTGCGATGAATTATGACCAAAAGTTTGGACTTAGCTGTCATTATAAGTAGAGGACTACTTTTAGTCTCATTTCAGTTATTTCTTATCCCTTTTCTTGTTGATTCTTTAGCACTTGTCTCACCTAATTTGGTGTCTGACAATATTCAGAAATGTTGCTAAATCTAGTTTATGCCCCCAATGAATGAGGCACAGCAAAATTGAGGGCTGTCCTTTGTCTTCTATTCTGGGATGACTTCAAGAAAATGTTTGGGAAGGTTCATTTCATTATAAAAGGATCCAGTACCTAATCTGAGGATCCTCCTGGACTTAAGATTCCTGCTTGAGGAGTAAGTGGCAATCATGGCAAGGAGACCTTTGCTCAACTTTGAGTTATATACCAGTTGCATCCCTTCCCTAACCGAGAAGCTCTTATTTTTGTACTCATACCCTGATAATCTCCTGTATGGACTACTGCAATGTGCTCTACATATGGCTACCCTTGAAAAGTGTTCAGAAGTGTTCAGAAGAATGTGGTGGCATGTGCAGTTGTGGCTGTCCCTAGGAGTTGTGCATGAAACACCTCTGTTATGTGAGCTGCCTGTTTGCTTCTGAGTCCACTTCAAGATATTGGTTATCACTTTTAAGGCCCTTCAGAGAATGAATGGCAAAGGAGATATGTTGTGATTCCTGGCATGGGGTTCAAGATTGGCATGCAGCCATCGGGGTAGTTGCATTTCCCTCCCTCTTTTATTAGCGTTTTACCTTGGTTTTAATACTTTTTTTTAACTTTACTTTTAACCATGTCTCTTTTTATATGGCTGTATGGATTTTATTTGTAAACTACCCAGAGTCACTCAGGTGAGATGGGTAGTATATTTAATTAATTTATTTAATTTGATTAATAATTTGAAGAAGCTTAATGTTTACCAAAATATTAATGGCTTATGAAGTAGGCTTGCTAAAATAAGTCATAGTTAATATTAAATACAATTTATTGATCAAAGAGACATCAGAACAAAACTTTTCTATTTTCAGCTTTAATTGTATCATAGGAAAAGGGAGCAATGGCCTATTTATTTTGTACAACACTATGATTTAACATGAGAGCCAAAGGCAACCACTGGATGTAATGAGAATTCAAAAATAATAAAGAAAACAGAATTTCACAATCAGACCTTAAACACTAATCCAAATGAACTTCATTTTAATCTCTACACATGCTCATCTCTATACCTGTTTACCAATGTTATATATAACCTGTTGTCAGTTCTTAACTTTCATTCTTAAAACTCTAGATCTTCACTATAGTTACATTATTTTGTCTTGTTTTAGCTGGAACTAAATGAAAAATATGCTAATCAAACTTGTGGCCTTTGTGGGGATTTCAATCAAATCGCAACCTACAATGAATTCTTTTCCAACAGTAAGTGGCAAAAATAGCAGGTTTCTGTTTTTATTGCTTTTGGGATCATGTCCCAATTCATTTGTAGAACTGGATTTATTTTGACAAATGCCACTGAAAGATAATTGGTTCGACAACCTTAAAGTATGCAACTGTATAATGTTATGCAAGGAATAAGATTGTTGAAATAACCACTTCCAAATATGAAAGGATCCTAGGTTTGTTTCTTTATCATTTTCTTTTTCAGAACTAATATAGAAATTCCATGCATCTTTTAAACCTGGATTTCTGTTTTTCACTTCCGCCTGGAAAGAGGGCTACAAAATTTAATGTGGTCAGAGATGTGCTAGAAAGGGAAAATAATGGGTCTCTCTTGCAAGGAACTATGGCTCAGATTTTAATCTGTGTTTCTCTACCTCATGCGGGTGGAGAATTCTAAGAATTGGAGCCCACATGTTTTAAAGTCACCAAGGATGAGAAATATTGAGCTAAATGCAAGGGCTGCCTGCAAAGTTACTTTTTCATCACAATCATAATTATGAAGGGTCACTAAACGTATGAATTTGGCAGGTTTGTAAAGCAAAAGAAAGCTGAAGTAAGCTCATAGTCACTGTCCAGGTTTCCCTTAGCTTAATGATTGAATCCTAACTGTAGCTACTAAACAAGGACAACTTGTAATGACAACTTGGAAGAGAATTAATGCATAGGCATAAGATAAAGATTGATGCTTCATAGAAGTGAATTCAAGAGGCCTCATTGGCAGGGTCTGTGGTCTGTGAAGAGGAAGGCTTATAAAAACAAGTCAAGATGGCAATCAAAAGGGTAAGGCTTAAGACATGTGGTTACTGCTACCTTCTTGACTTTTAGTTCCTGAAACACCACTGCTCAGAGATATCCAAAACTGAGGGGACTCAATAATATCCAAAACTCTTCATAATGGGAAGGAGAGATTGGCCTAATCAACCTCATCATCTTGCCAAGGATCAGTTTGGTTTCATACCATGCAGACTGATGATCTTTCTTGGATCCCTTTGCCAGATTTATTTCACGCTGAGGGAATATAGTAAAGTTGCAGCCTATGTCCAGGCAGGTGTTTTTGTTGTTGGTGGTGGTTTTTGTAATCCTGCTTTGTGAGCAACACTAGAATGGCTTTCTGCTTATTGCAGATATCCAGCTGACTCCTTTGCAGTTTGGAAACATGCAGAAGATGGATGGACCCACAGAACAATGCGAAGATCCTGTCCCTTTACCTGGAGGCCAGTGCAGCCAGAAGTCTGTAAGAAATTGTATTTCATTTCATTCTCTATAAGGGAATTTGGCTGTCTCCCCTCCCTCTTCTTCTTTTCTCTTTCTTAAGAGCAAATAGAAGACAATTAAAACAGTAAAATCTTGAAAATTTAAAAAAACCAAGCTTGTAAACATTAGCAATGCAGATCAATAATAGTGTAGTAGCTTCCTGTGTTTATATATAGTGTCATGTTCATATCTTACCAGCACTAAATTCTTTTTTCTAGACCACTCTGTGTCAAAATATACTGACTGGTCACGCATTTGAAGCTTGCAATGCATTGGTTGATGTGCGTGACTACATTGATGCTTGCATACAAGATTTATGCCAATGTGATCAATCTGTGACTGAAGTTTGCATCTGTAACACCTTTGCTGAGTACTCCAGACAATGCTCCCATGCTGGTGGACAACCACTTGAATGGCGAACAGAAGATTTCTGTCGTAAGTATTAGTTCCAAAAGAAAATTGCATTCCTATGGAGCACTCTTTGCAATCAGTGTATAGAATCCTAAATAAGGCAGCTAGAGACCACACAATAGGCCATCAAGATCAATCCTATGTCTAAACAGGATAATCCAAATCCAATTGCAACCTACAACATTCAAATATTGCTGAAGGAACTTCAGCTGATTAAGCTAACCAATGGGATACTCTGAGTTTAGTGAGGGTTATATGCAGGAACTCTGCATATCTTCAAACAGAATTTAGCTCAGTTTTGAACTGTTCTTATTAGTAAGAAGCTGGTGCTAATGTTTAATTTATCTTTTTTTAAAAAAATAATAATCCATAAGATTCAGTCTTTAAGGTTTGTTTAAAAAGAAGTCTTTGCCCAGTTTAATGGATCTAAAGAGCATTACCATATGTTTCCCCTTGCTTTTCTCTACATCATGTCTTCTATTTTCCAGACTGATGATAAACTCAGCTTCTTAATATTTGTCTCCCAGAAATTGTCCACTCTGAGGACTAAAATATATTGCCAACATTCTGTTTAAGGTATTTTTACCTCCAGAGAGGAAAAAAGTATAAATGAGGTTTCTAAAGTCTCATTGTTCATTTCTATTTTCAGCCAAGTCTTGTCCTTTCAACATGCAACATCGAGAATGTGGATCCCCCTGTTTCGACACTTGTACCAATTCTGAACAGTCCCAGTTATGTGAAGATCACTGCATAGATGGTTGTTTCTGTCCCCCTGGTAAGTCAGTATCCATGCTCAATTATTTAAAGACTTGCAGTTGCCTGGCTGAAGCGTCTCTTAGTATTAAGAAAAACAAGTATCTTCTTCATTATAGAAGTCACTACATGGAATTGCATTCCAGATAGCATGGAAAGGAAAACAAGTTTGCAATAAAGTGTTTCCTCTTCTCTGACAGGTGTAAAAAAAAACCTTAATATTTCAGTGCTCTTGCAGGAAAGACCATTTGAAGGATAAAAGTAAACACCTATTTTGTCTTCCATATGAATAGTTGACTTTAATTTGATTGGATGTGAGGCATTATAAAGATAATGTACATAAAAGGCATTTTGGGGGAAAAGACAAATTAAAATTGTTTGGATTTTAAACAGTTATTGATTTATATATCTGAAGATAAAACAAACTTTTATCCTGGATGTTTTGTAGTTTAATTTTAATTCTGTTTCTACAATTGTTTTGAATTTACAAATAAAATAGATTTGTTTGATTTAACAAATCAAGGAAATTGGCTGAGTGCTAGAATGGAATTAAATCTGCTCAAGAAGAACAACTACCCTGTTTCCCCCAAAATAAGACATCCCCTGATAATAAGCCCAATCGGGTTTTTGAGTGCATGGCAATAAGGCCAAGCGCTTATTTCAGGGTTCAAAAAAATATTATACAGGATCTTATTTTCAGGGAAACATGGTATATATGTATTTTCTTGCTGGAATTTTACTACATGGCAGCATAAAAATCTGGTTCGCCCTCATAAAAATATTTTTACCTTGTACTTTTGTCTTGATGCTGGCTTTTATGAACATGGTAGAGATCTGTTTCTTTAACAGCTTTCCATAAACCACATTTATAGCAATTAAGGGCAAAATTCCATCTGATACTAGTGATAGGGAGGGAAGGAGGGAATATTTTCATCAGAATTACAGCATCTGTAAATCTGATGCTGTAGAAGAAAAGCTTTACAAAGAGTGGATTTTTTATTGGGATCATGGCTTCTTTTTCTACACATCATGGTTTCCAATGAAAACTGGTTGATTTGTGGTTGTCGTAACACCACAACATGCTGCAGTGTGATCTGAAACCCTGCTCCAGATGTTGAAATAGTTCATGTGCTTTCCTGTATTTAAGGAAAATATAATACATTATATTGATAACAAGAATCACGGAGATGTATTAGTGGGAATGATATAAGGTACTCCATACTTCTTAAAAATAGTGAAATGAGCATGAATAACATACATTGGTTATTTCTTGTTTAGGCACTGTGTTTGATGACATTAACAATTCTGGCTGCATCCCCATTTCGGATTGTTACTGTACTTACAACGGGGATTCTTACGCTCCTGGTACTTCTTTTTCCTCCCAATGCATTTCATGGTGAGAATGATGATTCTCTATGATTTAATAATATTTTATTAGTGATGGTGAGATAAAGGCATATTATTTTATAGGTTGACTTGTTAAAAATATACTGGGCACAATTACTCATGCTAAGAATGTCATAAGACTGTGAAATAATGTTTAATTACACACATAAAAGGATTTATTTTTTGAACATGAATTTCTTGTTATTTTGCATGCTTCTGAACCCATCTACAAATTCTTGCTCTGTGGATGCACAAAAATAGCTCTTATTTACAAAAGAGTCTTTCACAAAGTTGAAAACTATAGAAATATTTTTAAAAAAATTTGGTTCATTTTTCTACAAAAATTAAAAGCATTACAAATTATAGATTTCTATAAATCTATAGGTATATTTTGATTGTAAAAAGGTTCATTATGAAATTTAGTTATTTAATTAATTTAGGTATTACCCGTTTCTATCTGACTCCAGTTGGCTCATATATTGCCATATCAATTCAATATATACCAAATTGGATGTGATCTAATCACTATATATAGGTAGAAACAAAATTAATAAGAATGCACCCAACAAGGGACTCTCTGTATCTTAACTAAAGGCCTGGGAAAACAACCAAACACATTGTTAGAAATGTCATAATTCTATTTGACTTACATGGTGGCAAGCAAATACTACCAAATATAATAGTTTATTAAACCTTGGGTGTCTTAAAAAGCTTGTCATGTATTGTGTAAATAGGCAAATAACTGAAAATCAACTCTGTTGATCTCTTTGGCTGCTCTTCATTTGACATGCATATAGTTGACTGCATTCATTGTTAGTGATAATAAGACCTAGTATTACCTCATATGACCTGAATCACATTTCTGAAGATGTTCATCTACCAAAAGAACAGCAAACCCCAGTTGAATGCATTTTTCATTTTTTCTGCATTCCTACATTAGTTTTACCCAAATCTGCTTTGCCAAATTGGAGGTCCTCTAGAGAGGTTTTGAAGAGAAAAAACCATGAGGAGGAGGAACATAAGGGGAAATCCCATTGCATGAAACTCTGTTAATATGACATTGACTATAGTTCTGAGCATTTAACCTAGAATGTAGCATGTAACATTCTGCAAAATGCTGTCATGCCATGGCAGAGGTACAGAATATGTGGGCATAGATAGACTATCTATACCCATATATTTTAAAGTTTAAAAATCTCTGCCATCCACCACTGCATTTCACCAATCTTGCTTTCAGATGCTAAATGCCACTGCCTCCTATTTATCAAATGCTGGAAGACTATTATTATCAGCCATCAAATACGGAAGAAAAAGCTTCTGTAAATTATAGCAAACACCCAGAGAATGTTCTAGCATTTAAAACTGGAATATATTTGTCATCCAAATCCATGATGTAGAATTTGGATAAGGATTGGAGGAAACTGGGTATTCTATTAATCGAAGCCTAATTTGGGTGACGAATAGTCTTCTTAAAGGAGCTTTAATTAGAAAACTCCAAATACATTAATTTCTTTACCAAATGAAACAGGATTTTTAAAGTATTCTCTCTTGTACACAAATACTTCCTTCAGGATGATAGGAATTACACCGTTATGTTCATTAATACTGTGGGTCTTTTAAAACATTAAATAACACTGTAATAAAATCCTTAGCGAACATTCCATTTGGAACACCAATAAAAATTTATTCATTAACAAAGGTCATAGGCTACTGCTTTACTGAAAACATGAGAATATGCATAGTACAACGACCAACCTTTTTTATTATAAGGATTACTCTACTTTTTGTTTAATAATTTGTTGGTAATTTCTTCCTCTTCTGCTTTTTACTTCAGTTCATGCACAGGGGGACAGTGGACTTGCATCAGCCTTTCATGTCCTGGAATATGTTCTATTGAAGGTGGCTCCCATATCTCCACTTTTGATGAGAAATACTATTCCTTTTTTGGGGACTGTAGCTATATGTTCACTAAGGTAATCTGCGTGTACAAGGCTACCTGATTAGGTTGATGGACCTTGGAGTGACTTCCTATTCTTTAACATCAACACTGCAGTTTAAAGTTCCTGTTAAAGGCATTTATACCCATTCTAAAGAAGAGACCTAAACCATCGGTCCTGTCCACATGATTGTGATAACACAGTATCCAACTATGTGGAATTGTCACACTGAAAACAAGGACCCTCCCATGCATTGTTGTTACTGGGAGTAGTTCATCCTTTCTACCAATCTATGAATTATCACGTATTTTTATTCACATCAATTTTAAATAAGGCTCCCTTCTTCTTGATTACACTTGAAATCAGTGCTCAGGATAACTGAATCCTTTCCTCATCAAAAGTTTACAAAAAAGATTATTCCAACATTATCATCAGACATTATGAAATCATCAACCATGGCTCTGTTTTCTGTTATTTGGGGGATGGGTGGATACATGTCTAATGGCTGCACTTTTTTTTTATTTGTAAAATTGTGATGCTTTGTTCAAATAAGAGGGGGGGGGAAACAAAAATTGCAACTTTTAAAGTACTTTATTTTTTTTAATTGTGCGAAGGAAATCCTGACCTACAAAAACGGAGTCAGGTGATTTTATTCTTATTATTTTAAAAGACAGGCAGCATGGTGGCTCAGTAGTTAAGACTCTGGCTGGTTGGCTGGAAAACTGACAGTCCATGTTCAAGACAGGGGTGAAATGCTACCAGTTCGCACCAGTTCAGGTGAACCAGTAGCAGCGGCAGTGGGTGGTTCAGAGAACAAGGCTCCACCCACCCAGACATCGTTACTTCCTGGTTTTAACCAGGTAGTAACCTGTTTTTTACCCGCTGCGCATGCGCAGAGGGTCCAAGCGTGCATGTGTTGCATGCATATGGCGCGTGTACTTCCGAACTGGTAGGGAAGGTAAGTAGATTTCATCCCTGGTTTAAGACCTTGAGCACCATGTGACAGGGTGAGCTCCTGTCCTCACACCAGCTCCTGACAACCTAGCAGTTTGAAAGTAAGCAAATGTGAGTCAATAAATAGGTATCACTTAGGTGGGAGGGTAATGCTCTATAATGTCATGCTGGCACATGAGACTGCAGAAATATCTTCGGACAGCACTGGCTCAATGTCCTTATCATGGAGATAAGCACTGCCCTCTATAGCTGGCAACCACTAGCAGAGTAAAATCTCTTTACCTTTTTTAAAATTTTATTTTAAAAGTATCACTAGTTTTTAGAAGGGATGTGATAGGTTCAGGCAATGCAAACTATTAAAATACTCTTTTTTTTCCCAGCTCTGTGATAGCAATGCCTTCGCTGTTCTGGGAGAAATTCAAAAGTGTGGCCTGACAGAAACTGAGACATGCCTGAAAGGATTAGCTATAAACATTGATGGAGGACAGACAGTAAGTGTGAAGAACAAGAATGGATGAGAAGCATGCTCGCTCAATAATTTTAGGAGTATTTTTTTTCACCAGACCCAGTGAGAAACAGATTCAGTTTGCATGCAAAAATTAGTTCTCAGTTGAGCTCCTGATACTAATGTTAAACCTATACCAGAAATATGCAGTAAAAATGTTGACTTTCCAATTACAAACAACACATGAAGTTCATTTTCTTTGCACAATATTCTGTCCATTGTTTCTTTGTAGGGGGATCCATGTTCTGGAATGTTTCTTTCTTTTGTTAATATTTCAGTATCACTTTTCACCGACTATCCTGGCTCCAAAGTTTATTTCCTTCAAACTTTTTGCCTTGAATATTGACTCCACTTCACTTTCCTATGCCTCTTTTCCTTGGTTTTACTCTCTTTCCCTGTTATTTTTCCCTTTCTCACATTTTAGTTCTTCCTCCCTAGTTTAAGCTATCTTCCTGCTGGGATCTGGCTCTTCAGCTTCACTATGTATCTATCTTCAAATTTGCCTTACAAAAATTCTCCATGGCATAGGAATGCTCTGGACATGAGTCTCTGAAAAATCTCAAGAAAAATATTTATCTCATCCCACTTAAAACCTGTTCCAAATATTTCAGCACTTTTATTTTTGGTACACAAACTTAATTCAACCAGTTATTATCAGAACCTTCATTCCAACAAATAAAATACGATATAGATTCTTTATACAGATATTTTGTATTTAAAAAAATGCAGTTAGACAAAACAACAAGGGTGTATTTCCTAAAAGGGTTAATGAAAACCAAAATGACTGAAGGAAAGGAGTTTGGTTTCTTGTTTTAATTTATTGCTGTATGCTGCTTTGAGCCATTGTGGGTGAGTTGGACATATGTATTTGCTTAATAACTAAATACTGCAGTAAAGACATACTTTCTCAGTGTGCTTGCTCTAATCTCTCATTTTTCACTACCCAGGTGATTGTGATCAAGTCTAATGGAGCTGTGTATGTGAATATGATTCTCACTCAGCTGCCTATCTCAGCATGTGAGTTCTTTGCTATTTATATGCTAGTATTTTACACAATTTAAGGATTGATCTCTTGTTCCTGGAATTTATTTGAAATTCTGCAAAATAGCTAAGTGAATGAATAAAATAATACCTCATCATTTGACAATGATGAAAGAAAGAACTGAATGTTGTTAAAAGTCCAATTTAGAGCAGGAAAAGATTGATAGTAATGCATTACCAAAATGGAGTGGAGTGGAATGGAGTAGAGTAGAATTCTTTATTGGACATTTAGATATAATATCAAACCTTTCCTTTGAAGTAGGTATTAATTTATTGATCACAAGTAATTGCTAATTATGTTAATAAGAAATGTTAATCCTAAAAGTTATTAGCTTATATTCGTATCAGTTAATGATTGAGATGCAAAGTCTAAGCCTGAATCAGTATCATGCAAAGCCAGTGTATACATCTCTGTGCTTGTGCTGCAGCAACAACCACAGTTGCAAGACTCATCCCCTTTGTGGCAAATAAAATGTATGTTTTCATCTGAAAACTACTTTGTTGTATGGTTTTGTTTCTACAGCCAATGTCACCATCTTCAGCCCTACCTCATTCTTCACTGTGGTAGACACAAAATTTGGAATCCAGCTGGTGATACAATTTATCCCAATAATGCAGCTGTTTATATACATAGACCCAAGCCACAAAGGGCAGACATGTGGTAAGTGAATCAATGAGTCGTTCTCACTACACAGAAGAAGGATGTTACAATGATAAAAAATTGATGTCTTTAATTTTTGTTTCAGGTCTCTGTGGAAATTTCAATGGTATCCAAACAGATGACTTTAAAGCTATCAGTGGGGTGACAGAAGGAACCCCTGCTGCCTTTGCTAATACCTGGAAAACACAGGCAGACTGCCCCAACGTCAAAAACGTATTTGAAAACCCCTGTACTCTCAGTATTGAAAATGGTATGTATATTTGTTTGCTGTGCTTCTCCTGGGCACTCTTCTCTGACTTATTTCTCTCTGTACTGTTGATACTGCACTTTTCTAGAATTCACAGTAAGTATGGCTGTCCTAGAAACAGCTTTAAAAAGAGGCCCTATAAAGAAAAAAAATTAGAAACACATTTAGCATTGTGTTTAAAAAATATAAAAACCCAAACGGACTGAAATATTCAACCGTTCTGGGATTAAAGTTGCTTGTATCTAGAATTATCAGGACATAAAATTCATCTTCACAATGGACAATAATAAGGATTATCATTATTATTCTACATTTATGTCCTGCTTTTCCTCTGAGGAAATTAGAACAACATTCATGATTTATTTACTCTCATTTTCTTCAGAAAAGAGTCTTGTAAAGAAGATTAGACTGATTTGGGGCTACTGTAGATTTTTCTTCCCCAAATAAATATAAAACAAATAAATAAAAATAGTGACATGTATAGTCACATGAAAACACATCAGCAGAAAATGAAAAATCTATAATGTACCCAAAGGTGACAGAACCATTATTACATAGCTGAGAGAATACAGCTATTTTGCCTGGTTTAAATTAGACATTTGTGTAGCACAAGACTGTCTTGAGCCAGGCTAAGATTCGATATTGGGATAAAACTCAAATATTAGAAATCCAAATCTTTGGTCAAGACAGAAGTGCCTCTCCCGTGCCAAGGTGCTGAAATGACAAACGGTATTTGACGTAGGTACAGAATTGTAGAAGGGCAAACTGACCCTAAACAGATACATTCTGTTGTTTAATGTTTATTGCATCCCAAATGTCATGCATATCCCTGGATAACGGGTGCTGCTTCCTTATTGCCCTTGAGGCGTCTTCTAGCCTCTTATCTCCTTTTGTTATGTCTTGAGCTCCGGAGCTGAAAGCCTGAGCCTGTGGGAACCATGCTGTTATGTCTTTCCTAGAGATAGATTAAAGGGTAACTTCTACGTGTGAAATGTTGTACTCTTCGTAATAACTTTGTCTTTATACTGTATAAATATCTGGTTGAAATCATCCATCTTTGTTCAAACTTTTGGGGTCTTCGGACTGTTTGAACCTTTGCGCAAATAAAAACTCTTTCCTGCACTGAAGAGCTTGTCCTAGTCCGTCATTTTTCCTACAACAGTCTCTAGAGCTAAAACCATGTTCCAGAGCATGTACAGTGTCTGATTGTGATGATAAAATGGCAAGTGTGCTTGTGCAACCAAAGCCCCACCCCTGTTGGTGCTAATGTATTGAGTAGAAAACTTAGTAAAAAGGAATGGGGCTTTGATTACTCTATTGTGTTTGTCAGTTTGATATAGTTGATCATTGTTGCAGATGTAGACAGAGGATGTATAGCAAAAAAGGGTACCAAAATGACACCCCGTTTATCTCTGTTTTACAGAAAAATATGCTTTACACTGGTGCGGATTGCTGACTGACACCAAGGGGCCCTTTCAGAAATGCCACCCAGTAGTAAACCCAGCTGTTTACCACACTGTGAGTAGTTATTTCTCTTCCACTGAAATGCCAAGAAGAACCTAAAGATAATACATGGGAAGAAATGCATTGCCAGAATGAGAGAAACCCTTAAGATTTTAATTGGCCTTTTGTTGAGCTTTCTATGTATTGGGTTTTTTTTTTCACTCCCTACATTTTGTAATCCAGTCAATATAGTTCTCATTTTATATAGCACACCAGAACCTCTACCTAGTCAATAACTAACAATCAAATATTAGTATGAAATATTAATTGGTATATATAAATGGAATATATATTTCCATTCTGGTGTTAGGTCTTAATTGGAGATGTCAAATAATTTTTAAGCTGTTCTAAATATATATATATATATATATATATATATATATATATATTGATTCATAGGTATAAATGTGCGATATTTTTGCAATCAGGGTTTTTTTCCTATGTTGAAAGATGTTAAAATGGCCATGGTGGGATGAAAATGATATATATATTATATTATATTATATATAATATAATATATATATATATATTATATATATATATATATATATATATATATATTATTATATATATATCATATACAACTTTCCCCAATCTCTGTGTGCACTTATGCAAATTTAAACCATAAACTATATTGCAAGATCTGAAATACAGGAAGGATAATATTATATTAGGAAAACTCAATTAAAATATATACTGTACATTAGAAAAATGCACATTCTAAGTTAAGATGTGAACAGAAATTCATACATTAAGGCAAGTTGTATAAAACAGTCAATGTAATTTTTTTTTATAATGTTTAAGAAAAAATGCAGCTGTCAGAAATTTTATGTTGTTTCTTCTGTGACTTATGGGAGACTGGGATAGCACTATTTTGGCCTTTTTAGGCCTCTTCAGCCAGACACACCCAGTCTCCCATAAGTCACAGAAGAAACAACATAAAATTTCTGACAGGTCTGAAAGAAGCTAATAAACTGTTGCATATTTATACACTGAAAGAACGCAACTGACAAGCATATGACAGACAGCTTAGATGAAAGCCGAAAAAAGACTTCCAATGCAATCTCTCCAAGTTGCTCATGATTTTGGCAAGGCCGGGCTAAAGCAAAATTACAGAAGTGGTGGCTCTTCAGATATTAACGCCTATACCTCCTAATAGCCCCATAGGAAAAGAGGCTGGCTAATATAATTCAGCAATATCTGAAGGATTCAACGATTGCACCCTGGATATAAAGGGAAATATCTTTGAAGGAAGGTGAAGTTTGTTTAATCCGAAGACCCTTTGTTTTTCTAGAACTGCATGTTTGACACCTGTAACTGTGAAAAGAGTGAGGACTGCATGTGTGCTGCTCTCTCAGCCTATGTCAGGGCCTGTGCTGCTAAAGGAGTATTGCTAAGCACATGGAGGACTACTGTCTGTGGTAAGTTTAGAATAACAAACAAAAAAGAGAACCAACCTAGAACTAAGGAGAAATTTCCTGACAGACAATTAATCAATGGAAAGGCTTCCCTTCAGAAGTTATTATGGGTGCTTCATCACTGGAGGTTTTTAAGGAAAGATTGGACATTTGTCTGGTTTGGTACAGGATCTCAAGAAGACCTCCAAAATCCCCTCCAACTGTTATTCTGACTGTCCACACTTGCTTTTAACTCAATTAAAAAGCTCCTGAAGGATCCCAGACTATTGGAAACTTCTTATTTTTCAGAGAAGAGGAAGAATATGCAAGGAAATTACTTTAAAAAATAACTCCAAAATTATCGGGCACATCATTTGATAAAACTTTTATTACATTTATTTTAAAATATGTTTGCATGTGTAAGCCTCTCATGCCTTAAGTTTGCATGTGCAAACTTCTCATGGCTCATACCTTGTGGGTAGGGTCAATTTAACTGTAGCCACCTCTTCTTCTGATTACTGAACTTTTATTGGGCTCCTATTGCTTTTCGACAGCTGAAATTTTCCTTCTCCTTCCAAGGCATCTAGTGGTTCACATGCCCCCAGCTTTTGCCTTCAGTATCCTGTTCTCAGTTTCTGTAGGTTTTATAGGTTGATATCTAGTATTTTAACTGCACTAGTGGCAAAAGCCAGTGCAGTTCATTTAACAATCGAATTACTGTATGTGTCAATGGCTACTTTCACTGGTCAGAAACTTTTATTCTATGAATTTTATTTTGGGGGGGTTGCAGAACATGTTTTGATGTTTGGAGGGAGATGCTGATATTTGCAGAGTTGAGAGACAGAGGGAGGGAGGGAGGGGGAGAGAGAGAGAGGGAGGGAGGGAGGGAGGGAGGGAGGGAGGGAGAGAGAGAGAGAGAGAGAGAGAGAGAGAGAGAGAGAGAGAGAGAGAGAGAGACATTGCAACTTCTTGTATGTAGGAATTTCCAGTTATGATTGCTACATGAGTCTTGCAAATGAATCAATTCTTTTTCCTTTTTCTCTTCTCAAGCCAAATTCCAAATTTGTCCTGAAACTTGGACCTATCATTACAACATTGAGACCTGTCAAGCCACCTGCAGAGCTCTCAGTGAGGTTGATGTCACCTGCAAAATCAAGTTCCCTCCACTTGATGGATGCACCTGTGAAGTAGGGACATACCTGGACGACAGTGGCAAATGTGTGCCTGCCTCTAAGTGCCCTTGTTACCACAAAGGATCTGCCATTCCATCTGGAGAAGTGATTCATGACAATGGCATCATGTGGTGAGAGACTTGAAATAAACATAGTAGTGGAAAGAGAAAAAGCAGAAAGCTGTGGAACAAAATTATAGGGGAAAGCAAGTGTATTCAACCTTGCTTGTGAGCTAACAGTTCAGGACCACAAATGCTTTCGCAAAGTCACTTCATCTACTAGAACAAATAAAACTTCAAATCTGGTGCTGCTATTTTACTGTACTTCTTACACTGAGCTGAATTTTTAAAGATGGAAGTACCTATTGATCAATTTTGTAAAAGCTTGTAGTATTTCCATCCCTCCCCCCCCTCCCCACATTTCCATCTATAAATATTTTGGGCATTAAAAGATACTTCTAAATGACCAAATCCATCTGATTTGAAAACCCAAGCCTTTGGGGAGACAGAAGAATGAAAACTTATTATTTTTGAAAATAGGCTAGCAAAACTGAAATAAAACTGAACTTAATCAGTAAGGGATTCACTTTTGTATTGTTTGCTTTAATCTAGGTCAAAGGTAAAGTGATAAAAATGGGGGAAGCTGGTAATAATACAGTTGACCTCTATGAATTAAGTAAAAGATCTTTTGACTTCTAACAACTTGTGATCAAAAACAAATGCATTTCAGTATTTCAACATGTTCTGAAAGATTCTTTCCTTCTCCTTCTCCTTCTCCTTCTCCTTCTCCCTTCTCCCTTCTCCCTTCTCTTTCTCCTTCTCCCTTCTCCTCCTCCTCCTCCTCCTCTGCCTCCTCATCAACAAAGAAACTACTTATAGTTTAAAGTGTAATAAATCAGAACTGTAAGTTTATTACATTTATTGCAATATAACAGCTGTCCTACTCTTTTACAGTACCTGTGTACAAGGCAAGCTTCAGTGCATTGGGGACGTGAAACCACAAACAGGTACAACCACCATTTTTATTCCCTGTTTTATTATGATGGTTTTCCAGCCTGATTCAGATCCAGCAAGGGAAATCTATGCCTAAAGCAAGCATAGTATTTAAGTGAAGTACTTTATGAATAAATTTGCTATTTAATTTGTCTTAATAGCACCACCACCACCCCACAAATCTGGCAATGGCGCCATTAAATGGCAAGATTTGTAGAAACTGAATACCTCATTGGCTAATCTAAAAATAAGCACTGAATTAGATCCAATACAGCTCCCACAAGAAGACAATTTCTTGAGTAAAGTTGCTGGCTCAATATATTCTGGCAGCCGAGAGATCTGCAACTGATTTTTGCTGATTTCTCATTCCTCTGCAACATGCAGAATTCTGTTCTAGGATGTCCTCAACCCTCCAAACCAGAATTGGGGGACTGAGGAGGTTGCAAGGGAAGGAGGGCAGCCATTGAAGGCCCAGAATCCAACCGCTGTTTCTAAAGCTGAAGTATGAATATTCACGTGGATTTAATTTGTGTACTTCACAAGAAAATTGAAAACTTGATCAATTCCTGTACATTAATTTTATGATTATTAAAAGGCATTTTCCAACTTTGGGAAACATGATTCAAAACTAACAAGCCTGAATAAAACAAGATTGTGATTCTTCTAACATGGAGTCCCATGTTAGTTGCAGCTATAAAATCTAAAATTTGGCATAATATAAATTGTGCGATTACCGAAATAAAATCTCAAGACAGAATTTTTTTTCTTCCAGATTGTGATGCTCCTATGGTATACTTCGATTGTGACAATGCCACAGCTAGCGCTCACGGAGTTGAGTGTCAGAAGAGCTGCCAGACACTTGATATGGGATGTGTAAGTATGGCTAGCTATAAGTGGGTCTGATTTTAATAGCTTTTTCAGCTTCTGTGGGATTGTTTTCTGAGTGAAAATGCAGAATAGAAATTTAATAAATAAAACAGCATATTGAGTGAAGCTGTCTGCCAGCAGGTAATTGACAGTAATTAAAAATTGTCTTTCTGTCTCTGAAACTGCCAGCACAACTTGGCACACTATCTTCCTATCATTTGAGGAAGATATTGCCAAATAGAAATCAGTCTGATAGATCACAAGACATTATGGTTAATGAAGTATCTAAAAATCTTCTCAGATCTTTCTGGAAGAAAGGAGAACAAATTCCTATGATACCATAAACCTGTTTAACAAGCATGGCTTAGTCATGATTCTACATACTTCGATATTTGATTCTATTACGATTATTAAGCTTATGCCAAGACACTGTCCAGAGATGCATAAAAATAAAAATTCAGGGAGCCCTCTTCATATCCGTGAAGAGCACAGTGGTTAGAATGCAGTACTGCAAGCTATTTCTGCTGACTGCTGGCTGCCTGCAATTTGGCAGATCTAATCTTGACTCAGCCTTCCATCCTTCCAAAGTTGGTAAAATGAGGACCCAGATTGTTGGGGACAATATGCTGATTCTGTAAACTTCTTAGAGAGGGCTGTAAAGCACTGTGAAGCGGTATATAAGTCTAAGTGCTATTGCTATTGCTTTATCAAAATTCCTGGAGGAAAGGGAAATTGAAACACCAATGTACACATTAAAAATAGTAAGAAGAACTGGTGCTAATTTGAAATCACTTTTCCTTTGTACGATATCTTAGAAATGTTACTTCTTGTTGTACAATTTTGTCACATAACACTTTTTGTTAATCTATTATTGCAGTACAGTGCACAGTGTGCCTCTGGTTGTGTATGTCCTGATCAGCTAGTGTCTGATGGCACAGGCAAATGTATACCTGCAGAAGAATGTCCATGCATTCACAATGAAGCCACATATAAACCAGGAGAAACGATCAAAGATAAATGTAATACTTGGTATGTATAAACTGATGGCTGGAATAAAGCAGATTGCATCTATATTGCATCAATGCACGCCTATTAATATCTAGTATGTGTTTGGCTACCTAGCACATGCAAGAACCGAAAGTGGATTTGCTCTAATAAACCTTGTCTGGAAACTTGCTCAGTTTATGGAGATGGTCATTATATCACCTTTGACGACAAACGATATGCCTTCAATGGAGTGTGTGAATACACACTGGTCCAGGTATTAAACTTTTTCTCAATCAATTTCTACTATCATAAACTTATAATTTTTTAGCCTTGAATCTCCATATTTGTGTTCATAAAAACTTAATGTCACACTCTTTTTTGCAGAATCAGTGTAAAAATAAGACAAATGTAGACACTTTCCGGATTATCACAGAGAATATCCCCTGCGGTTCTACAGGGACTACCTGCTCAAAAGCCATTAAGGTGTTCGCTGGGGTAAGTAACTTAGCAGAAGGTAAAAACATTATGACCTATAGTATGAACAAAACATGTAGTATGGACAAAGCAACAAAATATGCAATATGAAATCTTTATATAGTAAGTGGAAATCTTGAAATAGTATATGGTAAGCATAGGGCATTATATTTGCAAAAATATCCAAATGCCAGTGCAGAACTTGCCAATAATGGGAATCTTCAACTGAAATTATTAGAAATAGTGGCATTGGTAGGTGGTGTGAGTGGTTTCTATGTGTAGTGTTTGATCAATGTTGACTCCTGGTGACTGCCTGGAAAAATTCCTGCAGTTTTCTTGGCAAAGTTTTTAGGAAGTAGTTTGGAAGTAGTTTTAGGAAGTATATTTAGGAAGTATATAGTAGCATTAGGAAGTATATTCTAGGGATGAGAGAAAGTGATTGGCCCAAGGTCACCCAACTTCATACCTAAGATAGGACTAGATCTCATGGTCTCCTGGTTTCTAGCCTGATACCTTAACCACAACACCAAACTGGCTCTCCATTGATAGATATAGGTACAAATATTTATGTTGCTTATATTTTATCTTTTAGAACTATGAGTTACTACTTACAGATGGAAAATTTAAGGTGATACAGAGACTTCTTGGTGGAGGCGAAGTGCCGTTCAAGATCCGATACATGGGCATCTACATGGTGATTGAAATTTTTAATGGAGGTGTGATCGTGATATGGGATAAGAAAACCACTGTGTTCATTAAACTGAGAGCAGACTTTAAGGTAAGGTGTAAATGCAAAATAGAAACTGAATAGTTCTTTTCATTTCTGAAGAATTGCACTGAAAAATTGTTAGAGAATGAATGATACATTCATAATATAATGATACAGTCAATGAAGAACAATGTTTAAGAGTTAAACTTGCACATTTAAATATTCAGTTGGTTTATTAAATGGATTCTATTATGGTTCCACTTTACAGTCAATTTAGCATTATTTTGGTTGCTAGAACCATTGATAACAGTGAAAAAATTGTCATGTAAAACACAAAGAGCAAGACAATGTTCTGACATTATATGATGCAGAGCAATAAACATGGGCATTATGAACGACAATTCTCTGTTGACCTTATTATAGCTAATATTCTTAACTGCCTTTTTTGCATTGTAAGAATACAGCTGATTGGCTATAGCATAAATATTTGCATTTCAGAAATACTGCAAATATTTTATTTGGGTAGACTGATCCCATTTAACATTGGTATTTATGTGGAAATTTTAATCATTCCTAATGATTATGTGAATAACTGAAGAGGTGTGTGTGTGTGTGTGTGTGTATCCCTTGAATTGATTGTCAACATATAACAAAAGCAATACTTGGAAATCACACTGAACTATGGTTCAATGAAATATGAGCAAGCATAGACCTCACGTACTCCCTTCCCTAATTTTCTTGCCAATGTTTCACATCTTTGCCAGCTTCCAGATGAATGAACTTCAACTCCCTGAATTCTCATTCATAGCCATACTACTATGGAATTCTGGGATCTGAAGTCTATAGACTTGAAAATTGCCAAGATTGGGAAACCAAGTTCCATATGGTTGGAAGAAATGCAAAAGCTTTCATTTCTGTTTCCAGAAGACCAAGGCAGAATACAGAGCACGCTCTCTTGCTTTTCCCCCCAGTAACTATCCTGAGATTGGATAGGCAGAAAATAAAATTACCACTCAGTGAGCATCTATGCCTTAATATAGGAATGAACTTCAGCTTCTCTATTTCTGGACCAATACTTACAATGACATCACATTAGTAGACAAGCTATGATTGACGTTATGATCTGGTTAATTTTAAACCAGTTTTGCACGACCTCCCTTCTAAATAGGTTGGGAAGTGAACTCTCAAAATCTCCCAGTTATCATGGTCAATAGCTGGAGACATCTGTTTAAAGAAGTGTTTGAAAACAAATATCCTAAATCCTGGTTGCAGAAGTTGGCTTGTATCAATTAAACTTAATTATTAATGTTAATCATAGCTTTGTGTTCAATCTCAGGACAAACCTTTTGTATGAGGAAAGACCCACCTGCTCATTCTGTGAAATGTAACCTTTTTTAGTTCTGTTAGGGATACTTGTGCTCCATTCAAGGATAACTTTTCAAAGATGGGCTAGTCAATGTATGGTACACAAATATATGTACACACAATGTTGCGGAAAATGTAATTTCATATTTTTGGATTTCTTTCATTTTGAGCAATGCCTTATTCCACTGAAAAGAACTGCGTATTTCATGCGACAATGACCACCGAGTAAAATACATAGCAATAGATTATTTAATAGTTTGAGGAACTCAAACAGCTTTTGAGGAAATACATTCTCAGAAGGACAACCATGTTATGCTTTTGAAGAAAAAAAAATTAATTCTTAAAACTAATTTTGGAATAAATTGGGGTTAGGGAGAGATAGGCATGTCTATTTCATTGCTATGAAGCACAATGCTGTTTCACAATGCTGTAATTAAAAATGTATTGGTTTCATAGATCCTTAATCGTTTTGTGAATCCACATTAAACATTCCTAGACTTGGGTTTGTCTTTAACATAGACAGCTTTGAGTACATGAGTTCAAACTATGTGTGAGAAATATACTTAAAGGTCTCTGAGGAATGCAAAATCTTCAGCATTAAAATGGTTAGATCTCTAAAGCTAGAACCATCTCTGTCCAGCTTTCAATTTGTTTTGTACTTTTCTCTATGCAGGGTGAGGTCTGTGGCCTTTGTGGAAACTATGATGGCAATGACATCAATGATTTCACTACCAGGAGCCAGTCTGTAGTAGGAGATGTCTTGGAATTTGGTAACAGCTGGAAAGTTTCTCCCACTTGTCCAGATGTCCCAAACACCAGGGATCCATGTTCTGCAAATCCTTATAGGAGTTCCTGGGCACAGAGGCAGTGTAGCATCATTAACAGCAAGACATTTGCTCTCTGCCATCCTCAGGTATGAACAGATCCATGTCAGAAGATTATATAGATCATTTGAACAAACTTTATCCAATACAGGTAATCCTTGACTTACAATGGTTTGTTTAGTGACCAAAGTTACAATATCACTGCAAAAAAAAAAAAAAAAGACTTATGATCAATTTTCACATTTACAACCATTGCAGCATCCCCATGGTCACACCATCAATATTCGGGCGCTTGGCAACTAGCATGTATTTTTGACAGATGCACTGTCCCAGGACCAGTGGTGAAATGTAAAATTTGTTACTACCAGTTCTGTGGGCGTGGCTTGATGGGGGGGTGCAATATGACTGAGTGGGCATGGCCAACTTTTTTTTTTTAACTTTTAAAACTATTTTTTCTACAAACTCTTCGGCTGAAGAGGTTGTAAAAAAATGCTTTTAAAAGCCTCTGACGATCCCAGCTGAGTGGCCTGATCGGCAGAGGCTTTCTTTTTTTTAAAAAAAGCCTCTGACGATCACAGCTGACTTGCCTGATCGGCAGAAGCTTTTTTTAAAAAAAGCCTCTGATGATCCCAGCTGAGCCGCGTGATCATCAGAGGCTTTTTTTTTTTTTACTTTTAAAAGCATTTTTTCGGCCGAAGAGGTTGTAGAAAAAATGCTTTTAAAATTTTTTTTAAAAAAGCCTCTGATGATTATGCGGCTCAACTGGGCAATTGGGGGGGGGGGGGCAGAGATTTTTGCTACCGGTTCTCTGAACCACCCGCCTCCATAGCTACCAGATCGGGCGATCCGATCCGAACTGGGAGCATTTCACCTCTGCCCAGGACTATGTGATCATTTGTAATCTTCCCAGCTGGCTTCTGACAAGCAAAATCAATTAGGGAAGCCAGATTCACTGTAATGACTGCATGATTCACTTAACAACTGCAGTGCTTCTGTTAACAACTACGGCAAGAAAGATCTTAAATGAGGGAAAACTCACTTAACAACTACCTTGCTTAGCAACAGAAATTTGGGCTCAATTGTGCTCATAAATCAAGGTCCAGCTGTACAGTAACAATATTGCATGCATGTGATTGCTTAGATGAAGATATAATAGCCACAAACCAAGCAACTGCAAGGAGATGCTATCATTCTGGCATTCCAAGGATTACAAAAATAAATCAAACTTGTTTCAGTATTTCGTAATTCTCAGAGAAGAATTCCTTTGTAACTGGGAGCCCTTTTACTACCAATTCTGTCCTCTCAGGCTCTGTTTATTCTTTGCCAAACTTGACATGGTAGTCGGAGGGAGCATTAAATATGGTTGCTAATAGATCTTGGTGATATAATGTGAAGTAGATATTGTGCATCTTGCTTTCAGAACCTTTTAGCAGTGTTTAAGCTATCCACAAGTATGTCTACATTCCTTTTTAATTAGTCCTAAGTGACATCTGCCCAAAACATTTGGGAATATTAATAACTGAAACACATTACTGGATGAAGCATTAATGGTGGATCTAATCAATACATAATCTTGCTCTAAATTTAGGCTAAATCCCATGAATATATTTTTGCCATAACCTAAGTTTTAATTGACCAAGTAGCAATATATTACATTACTGGTGGGCTACTAAGAACACTATCTCCATTTTTACAATTTCATTGCCTTGGTCACTGCAACGATTTAAATCGATAATGAAGTCAATTATTTCTATAAGAGAAAATCAAAAGCAGATCCCACCATGGTTCGGCTTTGTATCCTTGATAGTAACATGCCCAATAATTGTTGGATCTGAACTATTCCTTAATAGATTTAGAGAATATCTTTTTGCTTCATTGCAAATTGCACCCTGATCCGTTGCTAATGACAGATGATTCATAACTGTTTCATGTCTATCAGTTACATCCCAAAACTATTGCTTTCATAACTACAACAAATTGCTTTGCGCATACAGTTGTTAATACAACAAATGGTGCTATATAAAGGAAAGAAAGAATACTGATCAATACTGTCAGTTCTCCAGAAGGATTTGGTTGGAAATATAAGAATGGCAACTGGGAGAAAATATCTCCCCATGCTTTATCAAACTCACCTACCAAAACTAAGGCACACGTCAAATTAACTTCATTATTTTCCTACTAGGTTGAACCAACTAAATATTACGAAGCGTGTGTATCTGATGCCTGTGCTTGTGACACTGGAGGGGACTGTGAATGCTTCTGTACAGCTGTAGCTGCATATGCACAGGCATGTCAGGAGGCTGGTGCATGCATCTCTTGGAGAACTCCATCCATCTGTCGTGAGTACCTTTCCCAGGAATGTTGAAGGTGGGAATAAGGAGTAGACAATAGTTACAATTTGTTCATTTCTCAGGACCACACCAAACGGGATTTTTAATACTACAAAATCATCACCATTGGACTTAGGTTGCGCGTAAATGTTGGAAGAGCTGAATGTATTACCTCTCACGGCTGATGGATACATTTAGTATTTCACATCATTACTGCAAACTTGTGTCTCCATCTCAGCCCAACCGAGAAAATGGAAATGAGATATCTCTATGAAGATCACTGGAAATGCATTAATACTTGCACATGCGATTTTGTGGAAGGAGTACCTGAATCCCTAAATGTTTGAATTACTTTAAGTTGAGGTTGAGATTTATTGAACCATGGTGTTACTACGTGGCTAGAATGACTATGATCAGATGTATCGTTAAACTAAGAAAGTCTTGCTAGATTGCTAGGGAAGTTATACCTATGTCATATGAATAAGGTGATATGAGAACAGAAAATGCAGAAGAACATGTAGAAACAGAATGATAATTCTTTATATATATATATTTATTTATTTATTTATTTTTTACAAATTTAAACATAAAACATAACTTTCAAGAGCAAAAATCTCAATCCGGTCATAGATGGTTACCACGCTTACATTCCTTTCACAAGCTCAATTCACAATTTCCATTACATCTTTTATAAGTAAACAAAAAAGAAAAGAAAAGAAGATAAAAAAGAAATTCAAAACTTATAAAAACCAATTTTAACTCAAATTTAACATTTTCATCTATATAAAAGAATGATAATTCTTGAACAAGTTGTAATTGTTCCAGTGTATAATGGAGTTGAATTTCCCCTGCCCCCACTATTAGATTCAAATAATTTTCAGTCTAAGGTCCTGTTTGCTGTCCATGGGACAATGAGTTCAGTGAGCACTCTGACATCTCAGGAGATTTAAGGGATTCCCAAAAAATTTAAGCCATTTTTAGCTTATAAATTGTCCTTGTGTGTGTGTGCATGTGTGTATCAGATTCTGTATATATTACTACTTTGCTGAATACCCATCTCCCAGAAGCTACTGATTTTAGTTGGAGTTCCTCCAGAACAATCCCATATGAAACAATAGGAGATGTCCTCTCATAGTATTAGGTTCAAGGGCACTTATTCCAAGATAAGTCTTTATTTTATGATGTCATCAAGTAAGAAAATGTAATAACATCATACCAAGAATATTAAAAGGGATATCTCTTGTAAAACAAACACATTTCACTTGAACTGTTCGTTTCCTTCCAGCTTTATTCTGTGATTACTACAATAAAAAGGGAGAGTGTGAATGGCATTATCAAGCTTGTGGTTCTTCTTGCATGAAAACCTGTAGGAATCCATACAATTGTTCACTTGAATTATATAACTTGGAAGGTACAGTATTTATGCATCTTATCTTTGATCTACAACAATAATTAAAAACTGAAAATTGCATCAATTCTTCTAATTACTATAGTAGGAACTATTCAAGACTTATTTAAGAAGTGAGCATATATTTTTCCAATAACTATTTTATACACAGTGTTAAATTTATTAAAATTGATTTGTTCAATTCTCAATTATTCAAGTTTAACCCTATGGATGCATGCAGTTTTGCACATGCTAACAAATGAAAGATAATACCAAATAGTTGGCTTGCACCAAATAGTTGGTTTGAAATGAAAAAGAAGCTGTTGGGGTTGTTGGTTTTTTTTTTTTTTTTAAAGCCCACTCTTATCTGATCTGTCTGCATAACATTTATTTTTTAAGCCTAATTTTGAAAAATGTTTGGAACTGTTTGCTCTTCTTTCTATCCCTCACACATCTCTATTTTATTACCTACTTTGCTCATTTTGTCTGATGAAAAGCTTACATTAAGTTATTTCTTACTGTAGGATGCTATCCAAAATGTCCAGATGATAAACCCTACTTTAATGAAGATGAAATGGATTGTGTCTCCCTTGATAAGTGTGGTTGCTTTGATGATAAAGGAAACTATTATAAACCAGGAGAAAAATTGCCTTCAGAAAAGAGCTGTCAATCATGGTAAGACTTGTGCTTAAAGTGCCAGGCTTGTGAAGTTTATTTATTTATTCAAGTTTATACAACTACCCATCCCATCAAAGGTGACTCTGGGTGATGCACAACAATGGATAAAGCAAGAAGTGTAAAAATAGCAAGTACAAATATATATAAAAAACATGACAATAAATATTCTAAATCCCCAAAATACAAGCAGAAGTAAAGGGAGGATTTTTTTAAAATGGCTTCCTTAACAGTCGTGTCACCTAGACAAATCTGTTTTGTGGTAACCCCAGGCCTAGTCACAGGATCAAGTCCTGAGGGCCTCTCAGAACATCAAAAGGGGTGGGGCCAGTCTAATTTGGGAGGGGAACAATACTCGTTATTCAAGTGCCACAGTAGAGAAGGCACATCTCCTGGGACTCACCAAGTGTACATCCCTAGCTGATAGTATCTGCAGTATCCCTTCTCTGCAATATCTGATGGGTTGAGATAATGTAAATGGCGAGAGACAGTCTTTCAGATAGCCTCATCCCGTGCCATGAAGGGCTTTAAAGGTTAAAATTGGCATCTTGAGTTAGACCTGGGAGCAAACTGGCAACCAGATCAGCTCACAGAACAGAGATGCAGTGTGAATTCTTTTGACAGTACGCATAACTGCTCAGACCATTGTATTCTGTACCAATTGAAGCTTCCAGATAAGTGAAAGATCTGGCAGAGACCTTACACAAAATAGAATTATGTTTCATAAAACAGGGGCAAGAATTAGAAGGCAACATTTTGAAATACTCTTCTGAGGATCAATTTCTTAAAAAATGCCATACTGTTAATAAATTTGACACTCAGCTACTGTGCTCCAGGATCTTCTGAACCCATTCTCTACCCTCAATTCTTGTGAGGAGAGACATTTTCTCAAAAATAATTAATAAAGTTTAATTTTATTAAAGGGAAAATTATTTAAGGGAAAAATATTTATAAATAAATAATTTTATTATTCCCTTAATTTTATTTCAGGGAAATAAATAATAAGAATTCTCCAAAGAAAATGGTCAATCTGTTTATAAATTCTGCATTTGCCAGGAAGTTTTTTATTTTTCCAAAAATTTTATTGTGTTCATTCCACACAATGAATTGGATCTGCTTGTAATAATGTGTTGGTTTCTGCATGATTCTATTCCAATTGTACATAAGTACATTTGTTTTAACCTGTTCTGCTTTTTAAAATGGTGCCTTCTAACCTGTGCTCATTTGTTACCTCACAGTTATTGTTCAATGGACAGTGAAGAGGACTGCAGATATGATGAAAATGGTAAGCAGACTGTGTCGATTTGATGTGGGTTGTGATTATTTGGATCAGCTACTGTGTGAGTTGAAACAACCTTAATAATCAATTTATTTATTTTTTTGAACGGCAGAATGCTACTGTATCTATGAAGGAAAGATAAGCAAACCTGGCGAGATCATCTACAATACAACTGATGGCATTGGAGGGTGCATCACTGCAATTTGCAGTCAAAATGGCACAATTGAGAGGAATATCTTTCCATGTTCCACAACCCCTACCAGTATTCCCACTACTACTGTCTTTGTATTTACTAACACCACTTCACCAGCAAGTACTACTTCAGGTACAAATTCTAACAACTCTGTGGACTTATCTTTTTTCTTGGTAAATGAAATGAAACAAAATGATTGTTGGCCATATTATTATAAAAAGTTTAATACATTTTAGTGTGTGTATGATAGGTTAATGTCCATAATGTGCAAACTCATGATGTCTGGGATAAAAAGATTCAGAAAAATCAGATATTTTCATTTTTAAAACAAACTGATTCATTTAACCTTTATTTTGATTTTAGTTGCAAAAACAGTTTGATGAGAGTGATGAGAATTCCTTAGGAAATTCCTGATAGAGGTTTAAGCGGAGACATGGAGGGGGGGAATTTATAAAATGTGAGCCCCTGAAGTTAGGAATAAAAATACTCAACATATGCTTAAATTTGTAAAATGGCCTTTTCAGCATACTATAGATATGAGGTGGAGAAGACTCTGTAAAGTGCTTACCAGTTTTGCTACTGAAAAAAAGATTGTTGTATGGAGAAGAGAGTTTAAGTTGTGGGTTTAATTTGCTACCCCACATTTCCACATTACAGGAACACAGAAAGATATCATGGGAAAATAAATCATTTGGGCTATTGCCATGGTATCATATGAAATGTTTTAACTATTATGAGTTCTGAATCACTAAATATAATAATAATAATAAAAAAGAATATCCATTTTGTCTGAGACTAAGTTGAGATGACTTATTCTGCTACTGATGAAGCAATGCAATGCCACTCATATTTTAAAATAAATGTTTTAATACTTATTTTAGATATTAAAATAAATGTTTTAATTGCACTCCGTGCATATTCTTCTCTTCAATATATTAAATATGTAAAAATGCTCCTGCTTAGCAGGTGCTGAGGGTAATGTGAGATTAAAAATATCAATTAAGTTATCACAAAACCAAGGCGTGCACTCTCACTTATTTATTCTCAGCCACCATGCTAAAATTTTTTGCTCCTCATTGCCATTAGCAGCAGGAAATAAATGATCTTCAGTAGAATGTCCTGGGAAGGAAGCCAGTTAGACTTTCTGTAGTTATTTGCCATCAGAAAAACTTTGCTGAAAATCACTGTTTCCTCATATGAGAGTCTAAAAGAGGGATTTTCCCCCCCCCCAAAGCCACTGAGAGGAAAAAGGAGGAAACTGTATGTGTAACAACTGACCCTATTACCACACATGGTCTGAGACCTCAAAAACTGTTCTGAGACCCAGTTGTTTCAGGGTATCATTTGCATGCTCACAATTATTAGAAAATATTCGTTGGAATCAGATGAAACATATTGATTTATCCTTCTAATATCTTTGCAGTGCCCATGACTACATCCGTCTGTGTTCAGGAAGTGTGTAATTGGTCAGCGTGGTATGATGGGATGCAGCCTGGCTCGGGAAACAATGATGGAGATTTTGAAACTTTTGACAATCTAAGGGCCAAAGGCTACCAAGTCTGCAAAACTCCAAAAGCTGTTGAATGTAGAGCAGAGAAATTCCCCAATACTCCATTAACTACACTGGGCCAGAAAGTAGAATGCAGCAGGACAGTTGGATTAATTTGTAATAATTTGGACCAGCATCCAGACATCTGCCACAATTATCAAATCAAAATTCTATGCTGCAGCTTTGTACCATGTGGCAATTATACTACAGCTCCCATACCTGAAACTACCACAGTCTCTCCAGTTCAAACAACTACAGTACCAGCTACTATTTTGACAAGTACCACTGCTTTCACAAGTACAATTAAAGGAACCACTAAAATCTTAACAACAACCCCAGAAACCACTGTTTTACCTACTAGCACTACAATCCCATCTACCATGGAAACTGGATCTTCAACAACAGAAATGACAACTTGCAAGCCTATCTGCAAATGGACAGAATGGTATGATGTGCATTTTCCTACACTGGATAATGAAGGCGATTTTGAAACATATGACGTTATTAAAGCCACGGGAAAAGATATCTGTGAAAACCCAGAACATATAGAATGCAGAGCTGAGAAATTCCCTAACAAAACTATTGATGAAATTGGCCAAAAGGTCCAGTGCAACGTATCCTTTGGATTTGTTTGCAGAAATAAAGATCAGATGGGAATGCTGCAAATATGTTTTAACTATCAAATTAAAGTCTATTGCTGCAACAACGAATGCTTGACCACTCCTACAGAAACTTCAACCAGGGTCACAACACCTCAAACAACTTCTACAATCATTACTACAACTTCAGGAACAACAAATCCAAATATAACAACACCACAACGTACATCTACCCCAGTTCCAGAGACAACTACAATTACATTACCTCCTGCCACTACTAAATATACAACCACGCTTCCTACAATTTCTACTACAAAATTTTCAACGACAACTACTACTATTCACCCAAGTTCCACTACAGCTCCTCTAACTACAACATTTCTTCCAACAACATCTGAACCAACCAGAGTAACCACCACAATACCACTTCCAACTACAACACAGACACAAATACCTACAACTATTTTTACAACAGGCATACTTTGCTCTGAGGAAAAATGTGAATGGTCCCAATGGTATGATATAAGTTACCCAGGCAACGGACTGGATGATGGGGATTTTGAAACATTTGAAAATATAAGAGACAAAGGACATGAAGTTTGTAAAGCACCAAAAAATGTTGAATGTCAAGCACTAAAGTATCCAAATGCATCGCTTGAGGAACTGAATCAAAATGTTACATGTAATACAAAAGTAGGACTCATATGTTATAATAAAGACCAAGAAACACAAATTTGCAACAATTACAAGATCAGAATTCAATGTTGCAAAATGATATCTGTACCATGCCAAACAACAACAATTTCTAAAATAACTACTACATCACTGAAAACAACAAAAATACCTACATCAATATTAACAACAACAAAACAAGTAACAAAGACAACAGAAAAACAAATTTTTACACAATACCACACAACAAAGCGGCCATCTACAGCACCTCAGATCATTGAAACAACATCTTTTCCAACAACTGCCACTTTGAGAACCAGCCATCCAGTTTCAACCACAACACCCTTTAGAACACCAACACGGGAAGTGATAACCACAACCGGACCACCCACCACAACAGTGATAACCACCACCAGAACTACCACCAAACCAACAACTCCTGCAATCACAACAACAGTTAGCCCTCCGACTGCACCCATAGTAACCAGAACTGCTATACCCACCACTACCCAGTTACCCACCACCAGGGAGTACCACCAAAAAAACAACTCCCACCATCACGACGAAAGTTATCTCTCCCACAACTCCCATAGTAACCACAACTGCTTTGCCCACCACTACCCAGTTACCCACCACCAGCAGAACCACCAAAAAAACAATCCCACCATCACGACGAAAGTTATCTCTCCCACAACTCCCATAGTAACCACAACTGCTTTGCCCACCACTACCCAGTTACCCACCACCAGCAGAACCACCAAAAAAACAACTCCCACCATCACGACGAAAGTTATCTCTCCCACAACTCCCATAGTAACCACAACTGCTTTACCCACCACTACCCAGTTACCCACCACCAGCAGAACCACCAAAAAAACAACTCCCACCATCACGACGAAAGTTATCTCTCCCACAACTCCCATAGTAACCACAACTGCTTTACCCACCACTACCCAGTTACCCACACCAACAACTACTCTCACTACGACCGCTCCACCAACGACCACATGTGCGCCTGTAACCTGCCAATGGTCAGAATGGTTTGATGTTGTCTTTCCCACTTCTGGACCTGAAGGAGGAGACCTTGAAACTTACAGCAACATCCGAGCCGCAGGAGGGAGATTCTGTGAAAAGCCGATCGATATAAAATGCGAAGCTGTAAATCACCCAGACCTAAGCATTGAACAACTTGGTCAAGTCGTTCAGTGTGATGTCACAGTTGGACTGATATGCTACAATAAAGACCAAACTGGAGAAACTAAGCAATGCTTTAATTTCAGGGTAAGGGTGCTTTGTTGTGAAGAAAACCCCGAATGCAAAAAAACAACCTTACCACCCACCTCAACAGTGATAACCACCACCAGCAGTACCACCAAAGAAACAACTCCCACCATCACGACGACAGTTATCTCTCCCACAACTCCCATAGTAACCACAACTGCTTTGCCCACCACTACCCAGTTACCCACACCAACAACTACTCTCACTACGACCGCTCCACCAACGACCACATGTGCGCCTGTAACCTGCCAATGGTCAGAATGGTTTGATGTTGTCTTTCCCACTTCTGGACCTGAAGGAGGAGACCTTGAAACTTACAGCAACATCCGAGCCGCAGGAGGGAGATTCTGTGAAAAGCCGATCGATATAAAATGCGAAGCTGTAAATCACCCAGACCTAAGCATTGAACAACTTGGTCAAGTCGTTCAGTGTGATGTCACAGTTGGACTGATATGCTACAATAAAGACCAAACTGGAGAAACTAAGCAATGCTTAATTTCAGGGTAAGGTGCTTTGTTGTGAAGAAAACCCCGAATGCAAAAAAACAACCTTACCACCCACCTCAACAGTGATAACCACCACCAGCAGTACCACCAAAGAAACAACTCCCACCATCACGACGACAGTTATCTCTCCCACAACTCCCATAGTAACCACAACTGCTTTGCCCACCACTACCCAGTTACCCACACCAACAACTACTCTCACTACGACCGCTCCACCAACGACCACATGTGCGCCTGTCACCTGCCAATGGTCAGAATGGTTTGATGTTGACTTTCCCGCTTCTGGACCAGAAGGAGGAGACCTTGAAACTTACAGCAACATCCGAGCCGCTGGAGGGAGATTCTGTGAAAAGCCTATAAATATACAATGTCGAGCTGTAAACCACCCAGACCTAAGCATTGAACAGGTTGGTCAAGTCGTTCAGTGTAATGTCACAGCTGGACTCATATGCTACAATAAAGACCAAACTGGAAAATCTAAGATGTGCTATAATTACGAGATAAGAGTGCTTTGTTGTGAAGAAAACCCCGAATGCAAAAAAACAACCGTACCACCCACCTCAACAGTGATAACCACCACTAGCAGTACCACCAAAGAAACTACTCCCAGAATCACGACAACAGTTATCTCTCCCACAACTCCCATAGGAACCACAACTGCTTTGCCCACCACTACCCAGTTACCCACACCAACAACAACTCTCAGTACGACCGCTCCACCAACGACCACATGTGCGCCTGTCACCTGTCAATGGTCAGAATGGTTTGATGTTGTTTTTCCCACTTCTGGACCTGAAGGAGGAGACCTTGAAACTTACAGCAACATCCGAGCCGCGGGAGGGAGATTCTGTGAAAAGCCTATAAATATACAATGTGAAGCTGTAAATCACCCAGACCTAAGCATTGAACAACTTGGTCAAGTCGTTCAGTGTGATGTCACAGTTGGACTGATATGCTACAATAAAGACCAAACTGGAGAAACTAAGCAATGCTTTAATTTCAGGGTAAGGGTGCTTTGTTGTGAAGAAAACCCCGAATGCAAAAAAACAACCTACCACCCACCTCAACAGTGATAACCACCACCAGCAGTATCACCAAAGAAACAACTCCCACCATCACGACGACAGTTATCTCTCCCACAACTCCCATAGTAACCACAACTGCTTTGCCCACCACTACCCAGTTACCCACACCAACAACTACTCTCACTACGACCGCTCCACCAACGACCACATGTGCGCCTGTAACCTGCCAATGGTCAGAATGGTTTGATGTTGTCTTTCCCACTTCTGGACCTGAAGGAGGAGACCTTGAAACTTACAGCAACATCCGAGCCGCAGGAGGGAGATTCTGTGAAAAGCCGATCGAAATAAAATGCGAAGCTGTAAATCACCCAGACCTAAGCATTGAACAACTTGGTCAAGTCGTTCAGTGTGATGTCACAGTTGGACTGATATGCTACAATAAAGACCAAACTGGAGAAACTAAGCAATGCTTTAATTTCAGGGTAAGGGTGCTTTGTTGTGAAGAAAACCCCGAATGCAAAAAAACAACCTTACCACCCACCTCAACAGTGATAACCACCACCAGCAGTACCACCAAAGAAACAACTCCACCATCACGACAACAGTTATCTCTCCCACAACTCCCATAGTAACCACAACTGCTTTGCCCACCACTACCCAGTTACCCACACCAACAACTACTCTCACTACGACCGCTCCACCAACGACCACATGTGCGCCTGTCACCTGCCAATGGTCAGAATGGTTTGATGTTGACTTTCCCGCTTCTGGACCTGAAGGAGGAGACCTTGAAACTTACAGCAACATCCGAGCCGCTGGAGGGAGATTCTGTGAAAAGCCTATAAATATACAATGTCGAGCTGTAAACCACCCAGACCTAAGCATTGAACAGGTTGGTCAAGTCGTTCAGTGTAATGTCACAGCTGGACTCATATGCTACAATAAAGACCAAACTGGAAAATCTAAGATGTGCTATAATTACGAGATAAGTGTGCTTTGTTGTGAAGAAAACCCCGAATGCAAAAAAACAACCGTACCACCCACCTCAACAGTGATAACCACCACTAGCAGTACCACCAAAGAAACTACTCCCAGAATCACGACAACAGTTATCTCTCCCACAACTCCCATAGGAACCACAACTGCTTTGCCCACCACTACCCAGTTACCCACACCAACAACAACTCTCAGTACGACCGCTCCACCAACGACCACATGTGCGCCTGTCACCTGTCAATGGTCAGAATGGTTTGATGTTGTCTTTCCCACTTCTGGACCTGAAGGAGGAGACCTTGAAACTTACAGCAACATCCGAGCCGCGGGAGGGAAATTCTGTGAAAAGCCTATAAATATACAATGTGAAGCTGTAAATCACCCAGACCTAAGCATTGAACAACTTGGTCAAGTCGTTCAGTGTGATGTCACAGTTGGACTGATATGCTACAATAAAGACCAAGCTGGAAAAACTAAGCAATGCTTTAATTTCAGGGTAAGGGTGCTTTGTTGCGAAGAAAACCCCGAATGCAAAAAAACAACCTTACCACCCACCTCAACAGTGATAACCACCACCAGCAGTACCACCAAAGAAACAACTCCTACCATCACGACGACAGTTATCTCTCCCACAACTCCCATAGTAACCACAACTGCTTTGCCAACCACTACCCAGTTACCCACACCAACAACAACTCTCACTACGACCGCTCCACCAACGACCACATGTGCCGCCTGTCACCTGCCAATGGTCAGAATGGTTTGATGTTGTCTTTCCCACTTCTGGACCTGAAGGAGGAGACCTTGAAACTTACAGCAACATCCGAGCCGCAGGAGGGAGATTCTGTGAAAAGCCGATCGATATAAAATGCGAAGCTGTAAATCACCCAGAACCTAAGCATTGAACAACTTGGTCAAGTTGTTCAGTGTGATGTCACAGTTGGACTGATATGCTACAATAAAGACCAAACTGGAGAAACTAAGCAATGCTTTAATTTCAGGGTAAGGGTGCTTTGTTGCGAAGAAAACCCCGAATGCAAAAAAACAACCTTACCACCCACCTCAACAGTGATAACCACCACCAGCAGTACCACCAAAGAAACAACTCCCACCATCACGACGACAGTTATCTCTCCCACAACTCCCATAGGAACCACAACTGCTTTGCCCACCACTACCCAGTTACCCACACCAACAACTACTCTCACTACGACCGCTCCACCAACGACCACATGTGCGCCTGTCACCTGCCAATGGTCAGAATGGTTTGATGTTGACTTTCCCGCTTCTGGACCTGAAGGAGGAGACCTTGAAACTTACAGCAACATCCGAGCCGCTGGAGGGAGATTCTGTGAAAAGCCTATAAATATACAATGTCGAGCTGTAAATCACACCCAGACTTAAGCATTGAACAGGTTGGTCAAGTCGTTCAGTGTAATGTCACAGCTGGACTCATATGCTACAATAAAGACCAAACTGGAAAATCTAAGATGTGCTATAATTACGAGATAAGTGTGCTTTGTTGTGAAGAAAACCCCGAATGCAAAAAAACAACCGTACCACCCACCTCAACAGTGATAACCACCACTAGCAGTACCACCAAAGAAACTACTCCCAGAATCACGACAACAGTTATCTCTCCCACAACTCCCATAGGAACCACAACTGCTTTGCCCACCACTACCCAGTTACCCACACCAACAACAACTCTCAGTACGACCGCTCCACCAACGACCACATGTGCGCCTGTCACCTGTCCAATGGTCAGAATGGTTTGATGTTGTCTTTCCCACTTCTGGACCTGAAGGAGGAGACCTTGAAACTTACAGCAACATCCGAGCCGCGGGAGGGAGATTCTGTGAAAAGCCTATAAATATACAATGTGAAGCTGTAAATCACCCAGACCTAAGCATTGAACAACTTGGTCAAGTCGTTCAGTGTGATGTCACAGTTGGACTGATATGCTACAATAAAGACCAAACTGGAGAAACTAAGCAATGCTTTAATTTCAGGGTAAGGGTGCTTTGTTGCGAAGAAAACCCCGAATGCAAAAAAACAACCTTACCACCCACCTCAACAGTGATAACCACCACCAGCAGTACCACCAAAGAAACAACTCCTACCATCACGACGACAATTATCTCTCCCACAACTCCCATAGTAACCACAACTGCTTTGCCAACCACTACCCAGTTACCCACACCAACAACAACTCTCACTACGACCGCTCCACCAACGACCACATGTGCGCCTGTCACCTGCCAATGGTCAGAATGGTTTGATGTTGTCTTTCCCACTTCTGGACCTGAAGGAGGAGACCTTGAAACTTACAGCAACATCCGAGCCGCGGGAGGGAGATTCTGTGAAAAGCCGATAGATATAAAATGCGAAGCTGTAAATCACCCAGACCTAAGCATTGAACAACTTGGTCAAGTTGTTCAGTGTGATGTCACAGTTGGACTGATATGCTACAATAAAGACCAAACTGGAGAAACTAAGCAATGCTTTAATTTCAGGGTAAGGGTGCTTTGTTGCGAAGAAAACCCCGAATGCAAAAAAACAACCTTACCACCCACCTCAACAGTGATAACCACCACCAGCAGTACCACCAAAGAAACAACTCCCACCATCACGACGACAGTTATCTCTCCCACAACTCCCATAGTAACCACAACTGCTTTGCCCACCACTACCCAGTTACCCACACCAACAACTACTCTCACTACGACCGCTCCACCAACGACCACATGTGCGCCTGTCACCTGCCAATGGTCAGAATGGTTTGATGTTGACTTTCCCGCTTCTGGACCTGAAGGAGGAGACCTTGAAACTTACAGCAACATCCGAGCCGCTGGAGGGAGATTCTGTGAAAAGCCTATAAATATACAATGTCGAGCTGTAAACCACCCAGACTTAAGCATTGAACAGGTTGGTCAAGTCGTTCAGTGTAATGTCACAGTGGACTCATATGCTACAATAAAGACCAAACTGGAAAATCTAAGATGTGCTATAATTACGAGATAAGTGTGCTTTGTTGTGAAGAAAACCCCGAATGCAAAAAAACAACCGTACCACCCACCTCAACAGTGATAACCACCACTAGCAGTACCACCAAAGAAACTACTCCCAGAATCACGACAACAGTTATCTCTCCCACAACTCCCATAGGAACCACAACTGCTTTGCCCACCACTACCCAGTTACCCACACCAACAACAACTCTCAGTACGACCGCTCCACCAACGACCACATGTGCGCCTGTCACCTGTCAATGGTCAGAATGGTTTGATGTTGTCTTTCCCACTTCTGGACCTGAAGGAGGAGACCTTGAAACTTACAGCAACATCCGAGCCGCGGGAGGGAGATTCTGTGAAAAGCCTATAAATATACAATGTGAAGCTGTAAATCACCCAGACCTAAGCATTGAACAACTTGGTCAAGTCGTTCAGTGTGATGTCACAGTTGGACTGATATGCTACAATAAAGACCAAACTGGAAAAACTAAGCAATGCTTTAATTTCAGGGTAAGGATGCTTTGTTGCGAAGAAAACCCCGAATGCAAAAAAACAACCTTACCACCCACCTCAACAGTGATAACCACCACCACCAAAGAAACAACTCCTACCATCACGACGACAATTATCTCTCCCACAATTCCCATAGTAACCACAACTGCTTTGCCAACCACTACCCAGTTACCCACACCAACAACAACTCTCACTACGACCGCTCCACCAACGACCACATGTGCGCCTGTAACCTGCCAATGGTCAGAATGGTTTGATGTTGTCTTTCCCACTTCTGGACCTGAAGGAGGAGACCTTGAAACTTACAGCAACATCCGAGCCGCAGGAGGGAGATTCTGTGAAAAGCCTATAAATATACAATGTCGAGCTGTAAACCACCCTGACCTAAGCATTGAACAGGTTGGTCAAGTCGTTCAGTGTGATGTCACAGCTGGACTGATATGCTATAATAAAGACCAAACTGGAAAATCTAAGCTATGCTATAATTACGAGATAAGTGTGCTTTGTTGTGAAGAAAACCCCGAATGCAAAAAAACAACCGTACCACCAACCTCAACAGTGATAACCACCACCAGCAGTACCACCAAAGAAACAACTCCCACCATCACGACGACAGTTATCTCTCCCACAACTCCCATAGTAACCACAACTTCTTTGCCCACCACTACCCAGTTACCCACCCCAACAACAACTCTCACTACGACCGCTCCACCAACGACCACATGTGCGCCTGTCACCTGTCAATGGTCAGAATGGTTTGATGTTGTCTTTCCCACTTCTGGACCTGAAGGAGGAGACCTTGAAACTTACAGCAACATCCGAGCCGCGGGAGGGAGATTCTGTGAAAAGCCGATAGATATAAAATGCGAAGCTGTAAATCACCCAGACCTAAGCATTGAACAACTTGGTCAAGTCGTTCAATGTGATGTCACAGTTGGACTGATATGCTACAATAAAGACCAAACTGAAAAACTAAGCAATGCTTTAATTTCAGGGTAAGGGTGCTTTGTTGCGAAGAAAACCCCGAATGCAAAACAACAACCTTACCACCCACCACCACTTCTAGCTCAACCCTCCCAGGTTCAACAATGACACAGGAAGTGAAAACCACAACCGTACCTCAACCCACCTCAAGTATTACATCTTCAATCACCACCATAGGAAGCAGCACAAGTCATTGCTTTTGCCAAATTGGGGAAAATATTTATATGCCTGGTAAGTGTTTATTTCAATAACTTTCAGCCAAAATTTGGATTTTTTGTATTTATTTGCTTATTTGACTTTATAGTCACTCTTCTTGGGCAATTGGTCTAGGTGGCTTACAATTCAAAAATGTTATTACACTAAAAATACTAATAAGAATTTAATAAAATAATCATGGCATCCAAATTAAATACACATAGTAGCAATTAAATTATCATCATTTAATGACCCCATAATCCCATGTGGGGTGGAGTCTGGGCAACTGAATGCAGCTAGTAGAGTGGTTTAACGGATGGATGCCCTTCCTGTCACCAATGCGGATCTTTGTTCAGCAGATATGTTCTCATTGTGCACACAGAGAGAAATATCTGCCTCTACGTTGATTGAACTCACAGCCTCATGACTGTGAGGCGAGAGCTCAACCTCTAGATTACTGCACCACGCATAGTAGTAATTAAATGTCCTGTTATTAATACAGCAAGGAAACTGGGACTTTGATACATTTAGCACCCAGGTACTGGAAGAAAAACAGGATTTTAGGGTCTTGCAAAGGGCTAACAGAATTGGGCCCATTTCAATATATGGAAGGAGGATGTTCCATACAGTATAGCAGGGATCACTGTGGAAAAAGCTAATTTTTCGGGCCTTCACCAGCCAATACACTTTGGCTGACAGGATCTGCAGCATACCCATTCTGCATTTCTCCTTTTTGATTCGTGTGGCAGACTTTTCTCTATCATTGTGTTTGTTATGTATGCACTTACTTGATAGCTTTCTCAAATCCTACTGAAATGTTGTTGTTCTTCCCCTTCCAGGTGAAGTGATATATAAGCAAACCGACAGCGATGGCTGCCTTTATTTCGCCATTTGTGATAGCACATGTTCCATTGAAAGATACAAAGGGCCATGTGTATCAACTACAACCAAACCCACCTCAACTCCTACAATCGTCTCCACCACTCCTACTACCAGTACTGCTGGTACTACTCTACCACCAGGCTGTCCTGATGCTGTTCCACCCCGGGAGGTAGATTGTTTCTTTTTGTTTTTGTTTTTTTTTTGTAATTTTTGATAATCATGTTTTCAGTGTAATGTGTTTTCCAGAAATATGTTGGATGTTTTTGGCCAGGGAAGGAGAAGTTAACCTTTCTCTATTCCAAATGTGATTATTGGAGTTTATGTCACACATGGCACTAACCCGATCTGGAATCCCAGAATCCCTCTTTTCCTTCGTATATCTCCAGCCCTCAGTACCACAGTGCTATAAAGGCAAGTGATCATGTGGAATTATGTGAAACAAGCATGAAGTGATTCAAATTACAATTTCTGAACAGAAAGCAAGTGATACCTCAATTTTAAAGAAGTTGCTATTATCTGGAAGAGCATCTGTTTGCTTATCACATTTTAGAACCACCTAGTTCCCTCACAGTACAGAGCTTAGCTGATACTAAGGAATCTTGTACGGCAAAGTGTATTTTATTCAGATATAGTTGCTTGCAATATATATGTTTCACAAAAATTACATGCAGATAAAGTATACATTCCAATTGCTCTTCAGATACATAAAGTCTCCTGCTATATGTCCACTTTTAATCTTTATTAAACCTGTCCTATCTTTTAACCATCTTACTGGGTTTGGTTTCCAGAGCCTTCACTATCTGAATTCACTCAAATTTGTCCTACCATGTTTGAACTAAAGTGCCAAAACTGGACACAGTACCAAGTGAGGTCTGACCAGGGCACAGTGGACAGCACAATAACTTTCCCTGATCTAGGACTGCTAGTTGTTTTCTGCTATATTACAACAGAAAAGCAAGTGGCATGGCTCTCTGAAAAAACTACCCGGGGCAAAGACTTGCTCTGAAGCCTTTATTCTCAAAACAAAGGACTAAGCAGCCTTGAAGTTCACCCTGATTTGATATGCAATGCCTTATTCTGAGGAAAGAGCCACTCTGAGAGGATGAGGGCATTAAGGAGTGACATCATCTGGGCAATATTCCTAACCAACCATTTTATTTGGTGCTATAAAAACTAGTATAAATCAAGGAACAAAGGAAATTTATGCTTGATATATGGATAGTTTTGCAATTAAGTACTTTCTTTCTGACCACTTATTCAAAGGCCATTCAGGGTTACAACAGCACTGAAAAGGAGACTTATGACTGATCCTCAAAGTTGCAATTATTACAGCCATGTGATTACAATGAGGATACTTGGCAACTGGCACAGAGATGGGGTTCAATTAAGCTTGTATATTATATATCTTATTTTAAAAACCATTTCGATGTGGTGTTTACAGGCACCAAGCTAGAAACTGGAGGATTGTGAATTCTAATCCTGCCTTAAACTAATAAAGCCACCTGGTGACTGAACCAGCTCACTCTCTCCTCTCCCTCCCTCCCTCCCTGCCCCCACCCCCTCTCTCCCCTCTAGAAAGGAGACAGGGCAAAACACTTCAAGATTGACTTGGCACAATACACAGAATTATATTTTATAGGCAATAACTTTTAATTAGTATTATTAAAACAAATCCTGGCACTAGCTCCCCCTTTTCTGGGGTGATGGTGGTGGGGTGCAGAGAATTTATGCTTACTTGGGGAAAAAGAGATCTCCAGGACTGACCTTAGCTAGAACATTGCCAAAGGGGCCTGGTGGCTCAGCAGACTGAAAGCATTGTGATTAACACCAGCTGTCTGCAATTACTGTAAGTTCGAATCTCACCAGGCTCAAGGTTGACTCAGCCTTCCATCCTTTCTAAGGTAGGTAAATTGAGGACCCAGTTTGTGGGGCAATAAGCTGATTTTGTATAAATATACAAAAGTATGAAGGCTATTGCTTAACGCATTGTAAGCTGCCCTGAGTCTTCAGAGAAAAGCGGCATATAAATCATTTTTTTTAAAAAAAAAAAGTAGGGTAGATGAGCATCATATGGGATTTTTAATCTATTTTTTCCCCTCCTGTCTACCCTTCCTTTTGGTATGGGATCATCTTAAAACCAGGTTTGTCCTCCTTTTGGGTGAGCTTGTTTCCTACTTCATATTTATCAACCTGATCAGGAAATAGGAATGTGTTAAAAGATCTGGACTTTGGATGCTGAGGTAAAGCTTCACAAATGTCAAATTCCAGACATTCAATTTAAGAACAGAAAGATTATGCAACTCAGAGAACTCAGGGGTAGGTTCTACTTACCTTTACTACTGGTTCGCTACAGGATCGTGCACGCTTGCTTCGCTCATGCACGTGCCCTGCTTCTGCACATGCGCAGATCGCTTCTGATGACATCAGGGTCAGTGGGTGGAGCCTCCCGCCAGTTCTATAGAACCGGTCCGAACCGGGGGCAACCCACCACTGAGAGAACTACAAAAAATGCTTTGAACTGATGCAGAATTGAAGTTTAATGGGAAATAGAATGTTATAAATAAACGTCCTACATCATGTCAAGTTATGTATATCTGGTAGTTACTCAAACAGAATGTCATCAGATGGGCAAATGTTTTTCCAAGAAGTGTCTCCTCTCTAACAAGCTTGTTTAAAGAAAGGAAAGGGAGGATCATGACATCAAGATTTTTCTGAATTAAGTTATAAAATGTAGGGACCAAAAGCCAAATCTCAGTTAGACAGAGCAAAAATGTTCTCTTCCCTCTTTATTACTCATGAAACATAATTTAACATATATGAAATATATGAACAGACACAGAGAACTTTGTTGAGTAAAACTGTAAACAATTTTTTTTCTATTCCCAGGAGGGTGAGACGTGGATACAAAATTGCACTAAAGCAACTTGTTTAGGAAACAACAACATTGTGATAAGTAAAGTGGAGTGTCCACCGGTACAGAAGATTATTTGTGAAAATGGCTACGCACCAGTAAAGGTTCTCTCAAAGGATGGATGTTGTTATCACTATGAATGTGAATGTAAGTTCAAATGTTATTTCTGAATGGCTTTGTGATAATAATGAAGTGTGATCAGCTTTTGATAATATATGAGTTATTTCGTTGATATTAATCTCGAGGTGCAGTATTTTTTAAGGTCCTAATTGTCACCTTTTTTTCTTTTATTTATCAGGTACTTGTAGTGGCTGGGGTGATCCTCACTTTATCACATTTGATGGAGTCTACTACACTTTCCAGGACAATTGCACTTATGTATTGGTGCAGCAAATTATACCAAAATATAATAACTTTAAAATCCTTATTGATAATTACTACTGTGACACAGAAGATCAACTTTCCTGTTCCCAGTCTATTATTATACACTACAAATCTTCAGTCATTGTGTTAACTCACCAACACTTTAACGGGATATACGTTAACAAGGTAAAATTTGAAAGTGAGATCTGGTGCCATTCACATGCAGTACAATAACCTCCACTCATTCCTCAAACTTATTTAATTCTCTGGAAAAAATCTGGGACATGTGTCAGGTATCGCAGTGGGGTGAGAACGTCCGTGAAAATGAAAGTCTTCCCACATAAGGGCACGATTAGCCCCATGTAAAATGTTTCAAGTACCTTTAGAATCATGCAATCCTAGTCTTGCTTATTCAGAAATAATATTATTCAGAAATAATTATTAATAATTATTTGAATATTTGAATAATTATAATTATTCAAATATTATTCAGAAATAATATTTCTGAATAAGGAAGTGCAGTACAGGTAGTGCTCAACTTACAACAGTTCATTTAGTGACTGTTCAAAATTACAAAAGCATTGAAAAAAAGTGACTTATGACTGTTTTTCAGTTACGGCCTTTGCAGTCACATGCCCATGATCATGTGATCAAAATTCAGATGCTTGGCAACTGGTTCATATTTATGACTGTTGCTGTGTCCCAAGGTCATATGATCACCATTTGCAACCTTCTGACAAGCAAAGTCAATATTGAAGCCAAATTCACTTAACAACCGGGTTACAAACTTATCAACTGCAATGATTCACTTAACAACTGAAGCAAGAAAGATTGTAAAATGGAGCAAAGCTCACTTAACAAATGTCTCACTTAACAACAGAAATTTTGGGCTCGATTGTTGTCGTAAGTTGAGGACTACCTATATACCTATATGTTAAATGTATAGTATGTTTATCTAAAGATCTGAGCAGAAAGAGGAGGGGTAGAAAAGCTACTTTTCATCTGTAGTGGAGATCACTATAAATTGAAACCAATTTATAGAACAGTGAAGAACATTGAAAAATCTAATATGTTTACTTTTGTGAATCATGAAAGACGATATACTAATAGCTGTAGTAATAGTGGTGATAGGAGGAGGAGGAGGAGGCATCCCAGCATTTCAGGCTTTATGTAATGGCTGAGACCAGCGGTGAAATCCACTTACCTTCGCTATTGGTTCGGGAACGGGAGTGTGCGCCTCTTCTAAGCATGCACAGATCATAAAAAACCAGGACGTAATGATGTCCCGGTGGTGGGCGGAGCCTCCCACCGCCTACACTACCAGTTCGGTGAGACGGATAGAACCGGGGGGATTTCACAGCTGGCTGAGACACACCAAATTGTAAATATGCACAGGTGGATTTATCTTAAGTCTAAATAACAATCTCAAAAACACAGCATGGAGGTAAAAGAAAGCAGTGATATTTCTTAAATGGAATGCCTAATTATTGGTTTTATTAAGAAATATAGCCATGTAAAGTTAATTTTGCATAAAAGAGCACAAAACATTCTTATACATAATATTTATGGTATATTATAAAAATAGGAGGATTATGTACTACTTATTTGGTTTGGTTTGCTTAGAGAGGCAAAGATACAAATAATTAAGGCCAATCAAAGCCTTAAAGCAGGTTCAGGTTCACAGTGATCCCTGAAGGGAAAAAAGAGAATCTCTTTTGGTGACTATCTGAAGCACCTCTTAGTATAAATCACAAGTGTGACTAGATCCATGCAGCCTTTCTTAGCAGATGTATGTCATATCCTTGGAAAGCCACCTCAGAAGAGGGAACCAGCCTCCCTAAAATTTTCCAAAGTTGCATGCACACTAAGGTGAAGTAATTTTATTTTGCTAGAAAATAAAATACATCTTCCTTAATTAATAATTGGAGTAAGCAAATCTATCCAAAATGTGTAGATAATTATTTGTAACATGCAGGTGCATTATTTTTTTAAAGTATGGGTAATCTATTTTTTTTTTCTGATACAAAATAGCTCTCTGATGCAAAATTATTCTTCTGTGCAGATCTATTTCAATGGGAAACTCATCAAGACAAGTTTCCAGAAAGATGGCATTTATATTTACACAATTGGTATTGATATGGTGGTTGAAATTTCTGAAATCGAAACTATTGTCACCTATAGTGGTACAATCTTCTCAGTAAAGCTTCCATTCAGCAAGTTTTACAACAACACTGAAGGACAATGTGGTAAGTAAAACAGTTTAATCCCATCAAAGCTTTTGTTATTCCATGAAATATTTGCAAACTCTTATACATTTAAAGTACTTGAAACAACACTTTATATATTTGTTCTTAGAAATATACTTGTTTCTCTAGTTAAACTATTTTCTTGCCAAAATGTCGCTTATTTTTCATTTCAGCCTGGATATTAGAACTTCTAATTACTGATATAAATAAAAATGGAAAAATATATCATTTGTCTGAAAGGAAAGGAAATTTTTTTCCAGGAGTATTCAGTAAAATAGCCTAGAAGCTTTAGAAGCAGTTCTACAGGGTGTTGTAGTTAACGAGACAAAAGCTGCCTTCTTCACTAACATGTGATAAAGAGTGCAAGTTCTCTTCCTATTTTCTCTCGAAAACCTTTTTCTCCTGCTTTTCTGTCAGCTCTTGCAAACAACTGCAGAACACCTTCTCTTGCTACTAAGTATACTGTAGTACAGGGGTCTCTAATCTTGGCAACTTTAAGACTTGTAGATTTCAACTCCCAGAGTTCCTCAGCCAACAAAGCAAAGCTGTCTGAAGAACTCTGGAAGTTGAAGCTCACAAGTCTTAAAGTTGCCAAGGTTGGAGACCCCTGCTGTAGTATGTTTCAAAGTTTTGGTACCATCATTTTTTAAGTAGTGGTCTGTTGGCAGAAGAAAGTGCATGCTGTTTATTGAAATAGGGAAACTCAGGCTGGAGAGTGTTCCAACAGCATTGTGAAACTGAATAAAGAGCTAAAAAAAAAGATTGGATTCATGTTATCTGCTTTACCCAAGGGATAGATGGGGTTGAAAAAAAGTAATCCCTCTCACCCAGTGGTGGAATTCATTTTTTTTTTTTACTACCAGTTCTGTTGGCGTGACTTGGTGGGCGTGGTTTGGGCATGGCAGGGGAAGGATACTGCAAAATCCCCATTCCCTCCCCACTCATGGGGGAAGGATATTGCAAAATCTCCATTCCCACCCCACTCTGGGTCCAGCCAGAAGTGACATTTGCCGGTTCTCTGAGCTACTCAAAATTTCCGCTATCGGTTCTCCAGAACCTGCTGAATAGCACCCCTGCTCTCACCCCAGTGGGTGGTATTGTATGTACCTTCCTCAATATTAGGTCCGCTACTAGAGGCCTGGGAATTTGAAGGTACTGCACAGTATCTTAGCTGTTCTTAGCACCGCCCTCTTCTGAACCAAGAATTCTGATGTCATTCCTGGGATCTGTTGGAGCCACTCTCCAAGCTTAGGAGTCACAGCCCCAAGTACTCCTCCTACCACCACTGGGACCACTTTGGCCTTTCCTTTCCTCATCCTCTTTAGTTCCTCCTTCAGGTGCTGATACTTCTCCAGGTTTTCATACTCCTTCCTGATATTGTTGTCACTTGGCACCACTACATATATTACCAAAGTTGTCTTTTGGTCTACTACCATGATGTCTGATTAATTGGTCTTGTCTGGATCTGAAAATCCCACAGGATCTTATGGGTATAAGATCTAATAACAGAAGGCTGTTGTTCTCCTCAGCCTTCTGTGGAATCTCCCATCTGAACTTGAGAGTCTATACACTATACAGATGTTCCTGTACACAGTGCCAACTACTTGTTTGTGCCATTCAGTATATGCTGCTCCTGCTTGCATCGTACATCCTGCCCCTATCAGTAGTGCTGAGGTCTCTCTGCATAGTCTGTACTTCAGGTCCTGCCTAGTGAGGTAGACCCCTTCTTCTATGTATCTGGTGCTTGTCCCAAAGGTGCTTTTTCAGAGGCAATTGGTCTTCAGCTCAAGAAGCTTCTTGGATGAGAAGTGAAATGTTTTAAAGAAAAAAACCAGAAAGTCCAGTTGCCTCTTGAAAAAGCATCTTTGGAACAGCCATAACCTGGATGACTGAGAATCTCCATAGATATCTGGTGCTTAGTGCTTTAGTGCCTGTTCATGTGCTGCTATGATAACTACCACAGTGCTGTCTTTTAGTCCAGCTCTTTCCACCACTGGTTGGATTTCCCAATGTCTGCCACTTCAGCTATCTTTTGATAGTACAGCCCATGCAGGGTGTTACTTGCCATGGCACTTCCTCTGCTTGATCTTTCTTCCATATCTTCCTCTGCCTGAGTCACTAAACTATGTGGCCATTCTGATATTTTTACTTCTTCCATACTTGCAAGAAGTGTTGTCTGCTTAATTGGCCTGAGATCACAAATGTTTTATCCTCTACATATGTTTTCATGTTATTTTCCCCAGGTACTTGCACTAACAATATAAAAGATGAATGTCGCTTACCAAACGGTGAAGTAACAGATTGCCCCCACATGGCTCCCCATTGGAGAGTGCCTGATCCTAAAAAGAATTACTGCTTCGGACCAACACCATCTGCACCAACTGAAATTACACCTTTACCTGAAATATGTAGCACAGCTCCTCTCTGTTCCCTTATTTTGAATGAGTAAGATAGGAATTATTTTATATTTATTTTTGGCATCCAGTGAATATAGATACTACTAAAACTCTTGCTTCACTATCTTTAACCCAGCAGAACAACAGTTTTTGAACCAAGGTACCTCAAATGTGGTAACTTACAGAAGGCATACAAATTCCTGGACTCATGACTCCCGAGAGAATGAAATTGCAAAAATTGTGGCTGTTTCAGTGCTGCTGGATTGCTGCTGCAGTCACATGATCTTAATTTTCAACATTCTATGACAGTTTCCCAGCCAGTCCTGCAATCCCTCTCTCCTTCCCTCTCTCACTGAGTAGTAGACTTTTATCTCTCTATTGGGAGGGCAGGAGAAGGGACATTTCTGATGTTCCCTGCCACATTTCCACAAGGAAACTCAATGATAAAACCGGTGGGAAGTCAAAGGTTGCCCTGGTTCGCACCTATTTTTTGCCCACTATTGGTCATTTTGTCCCAAGCTGGACTTTTCTGGTTTTTCTTTGAAGACGTTTCAACTCTCATCCAAGAAGCTTCTTCAGCTCTGACTAAATGGTGGGGAATGGAAGGATTTATACTCCTTGCAGACAGCTGGACATTTGCATTCTTTTAGCTGGTTGTTAAGATCACCTGGAGGTTTATCTGTATCATCACAGATTGGATGTGGAGCCTCCTTGGAACTGTTGAAAGGACTGTGTTGTAGAAACAGTTCAACAGTTCCATGAAGACTCCACATCAATTTGTACCACTCAGGTGACCCTGATGACACAGATAAACCTTCAGGTGACTTTAACGACCTGCTAAAAGAATGCAAATGTCCAGCTGTCTGCAAGGAATATAAATCCTTCTACTCCCCACCATTCAGTCAGAACTGAAGAAGCTTCTTGGATGAGAAGCGAAATGTCTTCAAAGAAAAACAAGGAAGTCCAATTGCCTCTTGAAAAAACACACCTTTGAGACAGCCATGACCTGAATGACTGAGAATCTCCATAGACATGTTGGTCATTTTGTTTCTCTGTTTAGGTGAGGAAATATTTCTGAGACTATGCCCAAACAGGATATTAAGAACAAAGATTTAGGAATATTCCAGTAGATTTTGAAGGCTTGTTGGAAGCTCCAGTAGCAGAGACAAATCCTGATTCTAAGCAGAAACCATTTTCACTCAAAGAATCCTGTTTATGGATTCTGACCAATATCCTCTGATGAACAGAAAATTCTCTCTCTCCTCGTCCCTCTGCTTCTCTCTCAACCAAATGCATTATCTTAGTCTACAAACTTGAGGGTGATACAATAGAAAATTATACCAAAATTTAGATCTCTGCAGTAATAAGTCTTGTTTGATGGGCCATACAGTGGAGCAGCCTTTCTCAACTAGAGTTATATGGGAGAAATTCTACAAAACAGTGTGTGTGTGAGTGAGGGGGGGAGGGAGGGAAGGACGGAGGGAGAGAGAGAGAGAGAGAGAGAACGTACAAAGCTAGCTTTAGATATAATTTTATGCAGAGTGTCCCTGACACCTGAAAATTATTTCAAGACTTCATCCAGGGTAGAAGATTTGAGAAAGGCTACAACAGAGTATAACACTGCTAGTCTATACAAACTGTTTGGTGAACAAGCATGGTTAAAATTAGATTTCACAAGAGCAGAGTTCTATAATGGACAGTTTGGCTCACATTCTAAACATTCTCACATTTCATTTAGCAAGCTTGGGATGGAAATGCAGGCATAACCTATCCAGCTGTGCCACTTTATATTCATATATCAAGCCCACAAGCAGAAAACTAGAAGAGAGGATAATCCAGCCTGATATCTAACCAGAAAAATCTATTTTCTAAGGATATTGCAGAGGGGTTTTTTTAGATAACTTTAGCTAGAATCCCTCAAGTCTTTCACCAGGATCCAATTTGGATGCAACTGTTAGTGGAACCAAGTCCTTACAAGGATCTAGAAAAAGATGTTCAAAATCCGAAAGAACATGTAAACTGTTTATGACAATATGTTAATAAGAAAAGACAATGCGTTTTTGTTTCCTGTAAGTTTGGGATAAAGATGGGAGCAAAGAAGGAGGAGTAGGAAGTTATAATAGGGATAAGCAGAAGTGGGCTGAACAGCACTTCTAAGAGTAAACATCTTTCAGTTGGGAAACTCAAACCAGCAACAACAAGGGGCAGGTTCGAATGATGCCTCCAATGATAAATAATGTACAAAAATGACAATCCTTCTCAAATGGTATTTCTCCCACAATTATAACACCTCCATGGTTGCTGATTAAAAAGTGTGCTCAAAAATGTGATATGAGTGGTAAGCATAGTGTAGTAAAATGTTCTTTAAATCCTTTCCATTCTGTTGGTTTAATGTACATTTGCAGAATCACTGAAAGTTCACAGAACTCCAGAAAACTGTCCTTTTATAATAGATAGATTTTGGAAAGATTTTATACCTGGAAAACCTCATAGTCTAATCCTTGTGGAAAGTTCTTTGGCACCAGAAATTCCACATTCTGACTTTTTAAAAAAAAATCATTCCCTTTCATTTTTCATTTAGAATAGTTCCATGATTTAAAAGAAACTTCAATTAAATGAGTAAATCAATTTGTACTTATTCAGAGATATTCATTTTACAAGTACTTTTTGTATGTTTGCAGCATCTTCTCTAAGTGCCATGAGATCATACCTCCGGATCCCTACTTCCGAGGCTGCATCTTTGATGCTTGCCATATGAAAAATATCTCCACGCAGTGTTCAGGATTAGAGATATATGCTTCTCTCTGTGCCTCTAAAGGTGTTTGTATCGATTGGCGAGGGAAGACCAATGATAAATGCCGTAAGTTCTGGGATATCAAGGCATCTTACTGTGTTTTCTTATTATATGATAATTCCTTCTTTCCTTCTTTTATATGATAATTCCTTCTTTACTCATTTTGAGCTTTTTAAATATATCTTCAGTGAGAATTTGGTGTGGCATTCAAAAAAGTGATACCGAGAGAAAGAGGGGTACTAGAAAGAAGTTCTGATTTATTTACCAATTAAACATTTTCTTAATAAACACAAGAATATTCAACTGCTATTCTTCCAGACAGACAATGTATTTCATTAAAAACTGTGATTTGAAAGAAATATGCCCAGTTTAAGGCACATTTATACAAAAAGTTGGTATGTGTGTTTGTGTGTGTATGAACAAAGCCAAAATTATGTGAAAAATAACAGATGCATGTGGCTGGAATCATTGTTTATTTCTGTTTATTTAATTCAATTAACAATTTTTATAAGTTTATAATCATATAATTCTATTTTTATTAATTATTAATTATAATTATATAATCAAATAATTAATTACACTGTCCATCTCATCTAAATGACTCTAGTCTAGGCAGTTTGTAGCAGTACAAATGTTCATGCTGTTAATAAATGTTGTTATTGTTGTAGTTCCTGGGGTGTTTTATTTTTCTCCTTTTGTTCCCCATGTGTAAATAGAATAATGGATGGAAAGATAATGAGAAAAAAAGTTGTACTGAAACTTTTTTCCAAATGCAAAATGTATGAAAAATACATTTCTATATTATGATGAACATTTTTCTCTTATAGCCTTTAGCTGCCCTACAGATAAAGTATACGATCCATGTGGCCCCATCAATCCTCCCACCTGTGATAACAGGTAAGAAAAACTCAAAAGAGCTGTGAAAGTTTATAATTGTCATGATGAAATGAACAACATATGAAGTATGCATTTAAACTACATAAGTGGAATATTTTTTTTTATTACATTCAAAAAGAAGAATAAAGAAGCAGTTTTTCAGTGAAAATGAAAAGAATAACAAAAGGCTAAGAAAAGGGCAATAGAAAGAAAAATAAATAAGGAACTATTTGTACTCAGATTTAGTCAATTGCAAAGAGCTGCCTGAATTAACTATATTTCAGATCAAGCATAATAGAAAGGAACTACCTCCTGATATTGTACACTTACAAATTTCAGAGTAGGGTGATTAAATGGTAGAAATTGCTATAGTTTTGAATGTCTAATTATTTATGAGAAATCCTGAAGACCAACTGGACGGGGGGAGGGGGGCAAAGGTTATCTTTAGAAAGGGAGCAGGAAAACTACAGATTACTCAGTCTGAAAATGATACCAGAATGTTCTGGTGGCAGATCACAAAACGGCCAAACACCTTGAAACCAAAGCCATCATTACTAGAAGTTAGCATGGATTTGGTCAAGAGTAATTCTTGCCAGATTAAACCATTTTGAGTATGTTCAAAATGTATACCATTGGGTAACTTCTGTTGTTCAGTGCAGGACTCTTTATTTCAGCATATCATTTGACAAAGCAATACCTGATATTCTGATTAGCCAACTAGTTAAGATGTCATGTCATTAGCTGGAACTACAATTTGCTTTCTATCACTGCACTTTGAGCTCATCAGTAGTTCCTCATCAAAATAGAAGGTATCAAGCAGGATGCCAGTACCTTTCAAAGTTTCCATTAAAGATTTAGCTGAAGAAGACATTGTTATTAGATTTGCAGATGATATAAAACTAGCAAAACAATACCAAGAGGTTTGGAGAAGTGGGAGGAAACCGACAGAATGGAATTATATAGGAAAAATCACAAAATAAATCACTTTGAAAGAAGAAAGAATATGCCCAGAAATATAAAAGAGTTGCTCAGCTTAGAAAACCATGGATGAAAAACTAGTTGAATTGATCACAAATTGACTATGACTTAGCAATATGATGTGACTTTTGAAACACAATCTAATTTTATTGCTGCATTGACGCAAACAAAATTTCTAGATCATGTGAAATAATTTTCTCCATTATGTAGACCCTCCCTTTGACTACTGTGTTCAGCTCTGGCATCACATTAGATCAGTTAAATTGGAACTGGGCAGAGATGTGGATAGACATGAGCAATGGAATTGAACAGAGGATTAGAAACAAAAATTTAATGAGGAATGAAGGAACACAACGTATTTAACCTTGAGAAAAATGAACTGACTAGGAGACAAACACTTGATTCAAGCCTTTATACAGAAGTCAGTCAGGCTTATTATCTATCATTTTTAAAGAACAAGAAACAAAACAATGGTTTTAATATATAGAAAGACTCCATGCTAGGAAAAGGATCTTGATAGTACGAGCACTTTGATAGTAGAACTGATCATCAAAGGAAATAGTAGGTTCAAGTATAGATCAAAGAGCCTTTTGTTGGGAATGCTTTAATTAGAGTTCTGCACAGAGCAGGGAATTTGATTCAAGAGCCTAAGTAGCCTCTTCTCACTTTATGATCTATGATGCTATTGTTATAATACGTTGTATACCTTTCCTCCCTCTGCAAAATCATATATATCCTCAAAGTTTGTTCCAAAGAGATGGGGAATCCTCTAGAGTACATTATGAGAACATAAGCAGAGAATAAAAATTCTCCTTTCCACTTTAACAGGAAAAATGTATTTTTCTTTGTTTTTTAAAAAGTTTTTTATTTTTTGTAAAAATGTCAAATTAATGCATGAATAGTGTGGCACCTGGGCGCCATACATTCCAATACAAAGAAAACTGATCAGATTAAACATTGTTATTACATTCAATCAATTTATGTAATTCCCATAACAATACACATCTATATTAGGTTACAGTCTATCATTATTCAATTATTTCCACCTATTTTTCATTATTACTTTCATTTTATGAAATAAAAATGTAATACATTAACATTCCCTTTATTTCTATCACTTATTCTAGCTTTTAATCATATCACCCTGTATTTTTCTATAGATGGAAGAAAAATTCTATGGATTTATTTCAGTTATGGTTTCATAAATCATAAATTTTAACCTGTTAAAAATTAGTCTAGTGCCATGGATTTGAACTTCATGGACTTGAAACTCCTCTTTTATCATGACTAGTTCTCTCACAGGGAAGATAAAATGTGGATGATTAGTGGCAGTTACATCAACTTGAGCCATTTCAAAGAAAGTTGGGTTGACCTTATATAACCTCATTCCTTCATTCTTACTAGTTGCATACACTGTGTGGTTGTTCGTAATGTTGGGGTGCAGCTATTACTCTAATTTGTGCTTCTTTTTCATTGAAGTGGTCCTCCACAGACTGGAATAACAGAAGGTTGCTTCTGTAAAAATGGAACCAAACTCTTCAGTACCCACAGAGATATCTGTGTCTCTGATTGTGGTAAGTGTTCTTATTTAAGAAAAGGGGAGGATACCATAATGCAAAGGGACTGCTGGACAGACCAGCCAGCTAGATGTGATTTCAGTCATTTCCAGGAAAGAAGATCAGAAATTATTCACTGAAAGGAGATAATCACTTAAATAATAAAAGATGGATGGATCAAAACCCATATACCCAGCAACATGGACATGTGAAACATTTACCATAAAGAGGCCTGATCTAGATCTATCAACTGCAGTGCACAAAACTGAGTAAAAGATCTTGAAGATCATTTGTATTAATATGCAAGATGTATAAAAATATGGTCTTCTTTCACACAGAGATGGTTTTGTTCAACAGAGGATTTTTCCCCCTCCACAAATACATTCTAAAAAGTGTATGATAATCCCTCCATAAGTATCATTTACCAGTGGATCATCATCCTTACAGAATGAAGAACCTCTGTTATTATTTGCCCATGAAATCTACAAAATAACCGACAACTTTCCTTGTGCTATCTGAAGCTCAAGTTATCTGACATTCCTAGCATCTTCCTATTGATTGTTATCCAGGAGACAAAAGAAATTGCACTGGATTCCATACAGATTCCATACAGGCCTCAACAGTCAGTGGCCCTTTGCTTTCTAAACAAGTTACATGTCTATCCCTCCCATTAAATATGGCAGGAGAGGTAAGCTGTAGATCATAGGTCTTCAAACTTGGCAGGTTTAAGACTTGTGGACTTCAACTGTTGAAGTCCACAAGTCTTAAAAGTGCCAGGTTTGAAGACCTCTGCTGTAGAACCTATCAATTAAAAAAATGTCAGCTTGTGGGACCCAAGAAGTAGGCCTTCTCATGTGCTGCTCCTTCCATTTGGAACACAATTCCCCTTGAGAATAGAGCAGATCTGACCCTGCTAGCCTTTCTGAAGGCCCATGGATGTTTTCAGACATGGAGGTTAGTGTGTTAGAGGGAAACCTTAATATGTGTAATGCTTTCTCTAGACTGGTTTGATTTCTCAGCTGCTGCATGTATTGCTGTGTTTTATATAATGTTCTGTGTTGTTTTTAAATGTTATAAGCTACCTATAGTAAATAGTATAAAACATAATAAAATAGTATACATCAAATGATGAAACTTAGATGACCTTCAGTGCAAAATATCATACATATACATTTTTTTCCAGGTTGTACTGGACCAGATGGGTTACCCAAAGTGGTAAGTATTAAAGCTTTTATTATTTCATAAAATGTAAATGGGTGAAACTCTATGGGTAATAGGAGCTTCATGGAAAATATTTTTTTCAAGACTTTTTCAATATTTGGTGAGTTTTAATGAGGAAATAGGAAAAATTGCATCCATTGTCTCAGTGTCAAGTAGCAACAGGAAAACCCACTATACTAAGTGTGCACACTTTTGCTTATAAATCTCTCTTTCCCCCATATGTGACCAAATCCACTTCCCCAAATCAATGATGTATGGCAGCTGCAATGGAGGTGCTTAAGCACAACACAGAAATTTATACTGTATGTATGCATGTCTATATATGCATGTATATGTACAGCATATATGTATAGGTATGGGTACATATATATTTAAAGATAGATAGATAGAAGATCGATGATAGATAGATAGATAGATAGATAGATAGATAGATAGATAGATAGATACCGTGTTTTCCCCAAAATAAGACCCTGTCTTATATTTTTTTTGAACCCTGAAATAAGCGCTTGGCCTTATTGCCATGTGCTCAAAAGCCCGATTGGGCTTATTATCAGGGGATGTCTTATTTTGGGGGAAACAGGGTAGATAGATAGATAGATAGATAGATAGATAGATAGATAGATAGATAGATAGATAGATAGATAGATAGATAGATAGATAGATAGATAGATACATAGATACATAGATACATAGATACATAGATACATAGATACATAGATAGATAGATAGATAGATATAATATATTTAAAAATATCTCTTTTCACAGCCTGGAGAAACTTGGATTAGCAACTGCCAGAAATGTATTTGTGAGGAATATTCTCTTATGGTACAATGTATTGAAGAACCATGTCCTACCAAAGCTACTCCTGTGGAATGTTCTTTTGAAGGGTTTGTACCCATCACAATATTAACCCCTGAAGAAAAGTGCTGCCCTCAAAAACAGTGTGGTAAGTATAATTTTCACCAATATTGTACTGTAAATGACCCAAGCTAGCATGCCAGTTTTCATTTTGGAAACTCCCATTTGTTAGATTACAGTGGCTGCTTCAGTTTAACCAAGGCTCTGTATTATAAAATCATCTATTAGAGAAGTTAATCTGTCTGCTTTACAAATATTTGCTTTGAAATGAGATGGGCAGGAAAATAAACTTAGTAACAAATAAAATAATAAAATAATATAGGAGTACTTTAGAAGAGAATATATTTAGCTCCGGATTTGACTGTAGGGTCCTTGGTGCTCTTTAAGTTTGGTGTTTTTTTACCAAACTAAGTAACTTCCTCAGTATACTGTTGATGTTAACTATTTGATACTGAAACCTCTGTAAGAAAAACCCCAAGTTCAGAGACCACCAAGGACCCTATAGATGCACTTTCTAGTCTCTACAAGATCAAAAGCTAATACTTAGAGGATAGAGCTATGCTGTTGAGCAACTCACTGACAATTCTGTTTTGATAAAAATGAAGTTAAACCATTGCATCAGAAATTATAAAGACCACAGGTAAAATTTATGCTTAAATACACAATGTACTGGATTCACTATAACTTAATCCACTCTTTGATTTGCTCAAGATAAAGTGTAGACAAAGTGATGCTAATAAATATTAAAATGTATTAATCCACCCATTGCTCTTCCACCTTTTTATTTTTCATTCTGTAGTGTGCAACACTTCTCACTGTCCCGGGTCTGTTGAAACCTGTCCACTGGGATATGAATTAAAGAAGGAAAACTTGCCCGGAGATTGCTGCATTAACACCACTTGTGGTAAGAATTGGGCCATTTAAAAAAACAATTGCTGTGTTGCTTTAATATTCTCCCCTACCCCCATATTCTACTGCCTGCAAAAACGCAGAAAGTATATTCATCCTCTCTCATGGACAGCCATTTCAGAGGAGATCTCTTTTTGTGGGCTTTTTGTATTTCCTGGTGTAAGCTGATATTTGATCTACTCTTGCTCTGAGGATGGGCATTTTTAATTCCTTATACATGTCATTTCTGCTATTACCTTGTTAGCAGCATACAGTTTTAAAGGGACTGGTTCAGTGGTGGGTTGCTCCCAGTTCTGTCCGGTTCTTGAGAACTGGTAGTAAAAGTGGCGGGAGGCTCTGTCCACCCACCCTGATGTCATATTTAATTATCTACGCATGCACAGAAGGATGTGTACATGAGCAAAGTGAGCACGCACACATGCTCCCATTGTGAACCAGTAGTAAAGATAATTAAAATCCAGCCCTGGACTGGTTGTTTCTTCCACCTTTAAATCACACAAGGACTGTCCCAAATAAATTGACTGACCTTGCTGAAGGTGATTCTAGCAACGTTACTGAACGTTTCTGTCAAAGATGCTATTTGTACAAAATACATACAGATAAAAGTAGTCTATTCCCAATCTGTAAAAATATGTTCTACCCCATCTCTGCTTAATCTCTATTTTTTAAAACACTTTATCAACATTAACATTTGCAATTCAATGCATTATCATTCGTGTCATAGAAATAACTGTTCTTCTAAATGAAGCATTCGTTTTCATTGTCATTGGATCCCACTGCATATTGTTGTGTAACAGTAAGAAAAATGCAAATAGGTAAATTTCAACAGGGGTCTGAAACATATCTTGCAAAATTGCTTAAGCCATACTTGCTTGAAATAGTCAGTATCACAGCCCAGCATATATGGCGCCCACCGGGGAAAACTCTATTTGAGAGATGCATTGGGTAAGACCTAATGCTTTAGAATTCCCAAAGATTAAATTACTCAAGTTTCCTACTCCATACTATGTGCTAAATAAACACTTTTTTCTGTGTACTGCACAGAGTGTACTGCACACACTCTTAAAAGGAAATCTTTAAAGAGCAAATTGTATCATTTTATGTCATTTTTCCTTCTCGGTTAATTTGATCTGTTGAGAACAAATGCTAAGATTAATTATAATATTATCTTTGTGTCCCACAGTGAAAGTACCAGGCTGTGTTGTCGATGGAAAATTCTACAGTGTAAGTAATTTTCATTAAAATAAAGAATAGCACCACTTAAACAACTAATTCAAGTCCAATGTTAACAGTGATTTTCCTATAGGAGACCATTTTTGCTTCTCTAGTTTGCTAAAGATTTTCAGGGATGACAATGGTAAAATTCTTCCTTTTTGAAAATACAAAAGCTTGCTCTTATTTGCATTTGTTCTCAACCTTATCATTATTTATTTCATGTTTCTATCTTGTTCAACAAATGGAGTTCCCTTGTAGAAATACCACGAAATTAAAAACATTATGCAATCCATGGTTAAGCAAAAACCACAACGTACACCAGGATGAAATCATTTATCAGTATTAAGAACAAGAACAAAAGCAGTTATAAAAAAGCACTCAAAATCACAGGAAGACCATAATAAAAATGAGAACTTTTTAAAAAATAATAATAAAAAAAAGATCTTCACCTGACATCTTAAAGATTAAAACAGAAGTATCAAGCATGATGGCTCTTTCTGAGGAGCAGATCACAAGCAGATTGATTGTAGTAGTTCCAGGTATGAAATTAGGTTAGAATTATTTATTACTTTTCACTTTTCTCTTTCTTCAGCCTGGGGCAGTCGTACCAAGAGGATTATGCGAATCATGCAAATGCTCTGAAAAAGAAGATCTAGAAAACAACGTGGAGTGTGTTTCTAAAACATGTGACCAAAGATGCCCTCTGGTAAGCCCCATTGTTCTTTTTTAAAAACAAGAAAAATCCATGGCTTTCAAACTCTCTGAATCTATCCATCTACTCACTATTTATTAAAAAAAAAGATTTACGATTTTATGATTTTTTTCCCCATTTTTCTGAACTACAGGGTCACAAATACCAGGAAGTACCTGGACAATGCTGTGGCCAATGTATGCAGATTGCTTGTGTTCTGACATTGGGTTCCTCTCCTACCCAAGTGATCAAGGTAACTTACAATTTTGCTAACTCCACTGTTCAACAAATTCACATTTAATCCACTCTTGTGGATTTTATAATCTTTTTTTGTGGCAGTTGCTAAGCAAACACCAGGATCATTAGCGAACCAGTTGTTTGCTATGCACCATTTTTTTGCCGAAAAAATAGAAATAAATGCCAGCTTTTGGCAAAACCATCATAAAATGCAGTCACATGAGTGCAGGATGCTGCAAATGGCCATGTATGTAGGCCAGTTGCCAAACACCTGAAGTGCAGTCATATAATTGCGGGGGAGGCCCAGCCATTGTAACTTTGAATGCCAATCATTAGTAGCTTTTGAGAGTGCATTGTAACTTTGAATGGTCACTAAGTGCCCAGCTGTAAATTGAGAACTACCTGTAGTGAGTTTGGATTGGGTACATCCCTTTTTCAGGATTCCCTGGATGGGCAACCATAACTTAACCCCAGACCAAGCTTCCATTGTTGGTGGGAATGCCAAGTCAACTGTTATCATCAAACTACATATGCGCCAATTTAACAAATCACATTCAGCATAAGTTGAGGAATGCTAGGACCCATCCAGTTGCTGTATCCCTCAGCCATCCAAAATTTTCACTTCTATTGTTTCACATTTTGAGGACACCTCTAATTGAACTGCATGCCAGCCTCCACCCCATTCCCACTTCTGTTCTCTGAGAAATTAAGGAATTGATGATCATGAATTATTTTTATGTTATCTTCTAAAATAAATAAATAACTACAATTGTCGCTATTTTCAGCCAGGAGAAATTTGGTACCCACCAGGAAACAATTGTACTTCATATGAATGTGATCTTATTGACAACCAATATATTACTGTCACTATCAAGAAAACTTGCCTTCAATGGGATCCAAACTGCCCGCCTGTAAGTTTCACTGATTGAACAGTCTTTGTTTTTTCATATTTGGTTCTATGTGATGAAAGTGGATTTTATCAAAAGATTTAAGTTGGAATTAATTGGGTTTATTATGGAAGGTTTACAACAGAACTGTATCAGTTGACTTTAAGCAAAAGCTTCAGCCATCATCTGACATTCTGTTGCTAAAACACAATGTGATCTAAACAGCTCTATAAAACTGTAAAATAATTGGCTGCCATTGTTAGTAGTACTCAGCTTTAGCGCACTAAAGGAGACTATATATTCAAAGCAAAGTGAATGCTGAGATAGAGAATTAGTGAGAAAGCTTCTGTTGTTGTTTCATATATAATCTTTATAGAAGAAGTAGATGCATCAAGATGTATAATATTCTTTTAGGACTCTTGCCCAAATATTGTTGTTTGGCTTTTGTTTGTATTGAAGTTCTATTCTTCTAGCTAAATTAAACCAGTTAGCCATGCCTGACCACACTTATAACTGGATCATAAGCTTTCTAACAGACAGGAAGCAGCAGGTGAAGCTAGGCAGAATCACCTCAGATACTTGTGCAATTAGCACAGGGGCCCCCAGGGCTGTGTGCCCTCTCTCTACTTCTCTTCTCTCTATATACCAATGACTGCATCTCAAAGGATCTCTCTCTCTTTTTTAAAAAAGTTTTTTTTTAAAGTTTTTTATTAAATATACAGTTAAAAACATTGGACATAGTGCGACTTTTCTGGTTCAAACATTTCCATCAAATTTTACTTTGCAACAAATACAATTCATATTCGATATATAAATATGTACAGTCTATCAAAATTCAGACACATAAATCTCTTCGTCTGTAAAAATTACTTTCAATACCATTACAATTCCTACCTATCACATAATACTAACATAATAATTTTCCAACTCTCAACTTATCAATATTTCTTTATCGAGACATTCCTCCTCTTCTCCAACCATTGATACATATTATTCCACATTTACATATTAAAGTACTGAAGTTTGCAGACCAACAGTGATTGGTCTCACTACGCCAACTAGAACTACTCCGACTTCAGTCTGACCTAAGCATAGTACATAAAATTATCTGCCACAATGTCCTTCCTGTCAATGACTACTTTAGCTTCAACCACAACAATATACAAGCAAATAATAGATACAAACTCAAGGTAAACTGTTCCAAATTAGACTGCAGAAAATACAACTTCAGTAACAGAGTAGTCAATGTCTGGAATGCACTACCTGATTCTGTAGTTTCTTCCCCAAACTCCCCAAACTTTAACTTTAAACTGTCTACTGTTGACCTTATCCCATTCCTAAGAGGTCTGTAAGGGGCATGCATAAATGCACCAGCGTGCCTACTGTCCCTGTCCTAATATTCCTTTTTACTTACTCTTTTCATGTATTCAAATTATGTTTATACTTTTACCTGTTATCTTATATATGCTTGACAAATAAATTTATCATTATGATTATGATTTGAGACAACGACAGATCTGCATACAGATGGGAAATTGAACAACTAGCCTTCTGATGCAGCTGGAACAGTCTTGAACTGAACACACTTAAAACTGTAGAAATGATAGTAGATTTCAGGAGAAGTCCTCCTACACTACCACCAGTCACAATGCTAGACAACGCAGTAGCAACCTTCAAGTTTCTAGGTTTTACAATATCTCAAAACTTAAAATGAATATCTAACATCAAATATGTCATTAAAAAAGCACAACAAAGAAGGTTCTTCCTGAGCCAACTCAAAAAGCTCAGGCTGCCCAAGGAGCTGCTGACACAGTTCTACAGAGGAATTATTGAGTCTGTCCTCTGAACCTCTATAACTGTCTGGTTTGGCTCTGCAACCAATCAAGACAAACATAGACTTAAACAGATAATTAGAACTGCAGAAAAAACAGTTACTACCAACCTGCCTTCCATTAAGGATCTGTATACTGCACAAGACAAAAAGAGGGCTGTGAAAATATCTACAGATCCCCTCACATCCTAGACATAAATTGTTTCAACTTCTACCCTCAAAACAATGCTATAGGGCATCTCATGTCAGAACAACTAAACACAAGGACAATTTTCTCCCTATGCCATCACCCTGCTAAACAACTAATTCCCACAACACTGTCAAACTATCCAGAAAGGCAGCATTAACTCCATTATTCTCATCTTCCCTATTTCCTATCTCCTTATCTTCTTATGGCTATAACTTTGTTGCTTGCATCTTATGATTTGTATTGTTTACTTAGTATCCTAGCATGATTTCTGTTGATTGCTTATTCAGTATCCATGACTATCACTAAGGCGTTGTATTTAATGTTTTATGATGAATGTATTTTTACAATGACTATGATAAAGATCTATCACTATAGCTGCATGTACACTGAGAGTTTATGCACCAGAGACAAATTCCTTGTGTGTCTAATCACACTTGGCCAATAAAGAATTCTAATTCTAATCCTATATGATACACCTATGGGGAGAAATGATGGTTTTAACATCATAAATTAAAGTCTGAAATATTTTATTTTTATAGGAATATGTGAAACCCGCTGATGATGGGTGTTGCAAGAAATGCGAACCTCCAAGTAAGTTATGCAAATTATATTAGCATAAATAAAAAAATTCAGATTTGTATTAGCGATAAAGCCATTTTTTGTGTGTTGCTATAAATTGAACCATAGCCTTTCAGACATCACTGGACTTCAATTCTATTCAAGCCCACTTATTATAGTTGGTGGGCAAAGTTGCTAGGATTTATAGCCACACAATTCTCTACAGAAGCAAATTGACATGGTTATCATCACTTGTCACATACATGCACACATTATACAGGTAATCCTTGACTTACAGCAGTTAATTTAGTGACTGTTAAAAGTTAAAACAGCACTGAAAAGGTGACTTATGACCATTTTTCACATTTACGACTGTTACAGCATCACATGATCAAAATTAGGACACTTAGCAGTTGGTTCATATTTATGACAGTTGAGGTCCTGTGATCACCTTTTGTGACCTTCTGACAAGCAATGTCAATAGGGAAGCCAGATTCACTTAACAGCTGTGTTACTAACTTAAGAACTGCAGTGATTCACTTAATAACTGTGGAAAGAAAGATTGTAAAGTGGGGCAAAATTACAACTGTCTTGCTTAGCAACAGAAAGTTTGGGCTCAATTGTGGTCATAAGTTGAGGACTACCTGTACGTGTACGCTTTCTTTTATTTTTTGTTTGTTTGTTTTATGTTTGTGATCAGAGACTCAAGGATTTTTTTTTTTTACTGTTTCTCTTTTCTTCCGCTCTCAAGGGATAGAATTCTGTGCACCAATAAACATCACCAAAACAATAAAATACAATGGCTGTGAATCTTCTTCACCTATTGAAGTAACATACTGTGAAGGCCAATGTGACAGTTTTTCAAAGTAAGTAACCTTGAATTTTATTGCATCTTCAGTAGCTCATTGTGAAACAACTGTTTAAAAAATCTTCATATGCCACGAGATATAAATGCAAAGAAACTATCCAAGATCTGGTTCTTAGGATATCTGCAAAGTAGTCCAGATGCCATTTTAATTTCAACTTTCAACATTTGAAATGGAAGTTCAGCTAAGACTCAATTCCATTGCTGGTGCATTGCCCAGCATCTTAAATTATTCCAAATGAAGATGAAATTCTATTTAAGGTTGTTTTAGATGGATCGGGGTGCAGGCCTAGCTCCCATTCCTTGAGGAAAAAAATTGGCAGATGATCAACAAATGGGAGATGTGGTGTCTGGCAGATATCAAAGGAAAGGTAGAAGCAAGCAGGTGAGTGAGAGGAGAGAGTGCCAACAAATAACAAGGAGGAGGGAAGAAAAATGCTAAAATGGCCCATCAACTGTAAGGACCTCAAAACTGATTCCATTGATAGAGATACCATAGGTCAGGGGTCTCCAATGTTGGCAACTTTAAGACTTGTGGACTTCAAATCCCAGAATTCCTCAGCCCTTCATGCTGTGTGAGGAATTCTGGGAGCTGAATCCACAAGTCATAGAGTTGTCAAAGTTGGGGACCCCTGCTGTAGGTTATAATGTTTTGACTGTCCAACACTATGCAAAATGGCATTGAAAAGACAAAAATCTGATGAAACCAAATAATGGTTGGTGAAGGGTCGCAGACTTCATCCTGCAGCAGCTCATCTCAATCTCAATTTGCTTTCACCATTCAGGTATTCATATAAGGCAAACATGATGAATCATACATGCACCTGTTGTCAAGAGCAAAAGACTACGAAGAAGCAAGTGACCTTGATTTGCCCCGATGGTTTAACCATGGATTATTCTTACCTCTATGTTGACAAGTGTGAGTGTGTCAAGAGTGAATGCAACATTTGGCCCACACCTGCTCCACAAAAATTGTCCAGCTTCCCACCACAGCAGCAGGAGCAACAGCAGCAGCAGCAGCAGCAGCAGGAGGAGCAGCAGAAGAAGCAGTAAGAATAAAAACTGCAGCAGGAATGAAAGGGACGCTCAGGACCAGTCTAAACATTTCCAAAAAGTGACCCAGAATTGAATAAAAATTAAAATGTAATAAAATGTAAAAGTTATGCTCAAGCAACATTCAACCAAATATTTCCTCTATCTACTCTTCAAGGAAAGATTTTCTCTTCTGCATACCAAGCATTTTGAAATGTCCTGACTTTTTTTTTGGGTGCAGACTCAACTGAGACTATATGAGGTTTTTTTTTTTTTTTTAAACAAACAAACTTGGAGATGGAAGGGAAGAGGCTTGGTGTCAATAATTGGAGTTGGGGGTGAAGAAATAAAAAAGATGTATTGGTTTGGTTTGGGATCTTCTCTTGAGAAGTGACAATTCCTGCATTAAGTGACAGGTAGTACTATTTTAATTAAGACTGGTGGAGTTTTTAGCACTAGCTGACAGAAGCCAGACAATATCTGGAAACTGAGTAGGATTTTGATCCAATTCATCTCTGTTGCATGTGACAAAAACATTGGTTGGTATTTGCTAAAATGGGAAGCATAGCTCTCAGTTCTCTGACATAATTTTTCTTACTGTGCTTCCAAATTCCTTTTTCTACAAACTTCATTTTTTCCCCCTATTCTTTCCAAATATGAGACAGGCTATATAATGATGTGAGATTCTTTGTAGATTTATTACTATTGCAAGAAGGAAAAAAAACATGAAGTGTGGCTGCTGCTGAAGAAGACTGTTTACATGATACCATCAGCATAGTAGTTGTATGAGGATCGAGATTATTTTTGTAATTGTTTACAGAATGAACTAACATAAGTATATGCACACCAAAAGGTAATTGGAGAATTTTTGTAAACCAAAGTAATAAATAACAGTAATATAACTTAGAATTTCTCTTCTAAGTTAGTGAATTGTTTTCAAACATCTAATTACTATTTATTTGTTTCCAGAAAAATATATTTTCAGGGATATTTTCTTCTGAATAAATGCTCTACTGTCTGTCAACTAATGCCTGGTTGAGGGAAATTTTCATCTTTTTTATAGTTGTTATTTGTTGCTCAACAACAGCTAAATGATTAATAAAATTTACAACATTTTGCAAGGGATATGCTTCTTGTATGTGTGTCAACTGCACAATAACATAACACATCAGTATCTCATTTAACTTCATTAGTAACATTCTTTAAGTAGCCAAAGAACACATTTGTTCACATAACAACATTATTCCTATTGTCTCATTAATAATTCTATTTTGCATTGCTTAATATGGAAATTACCATCATCCCCCCAACTTCTGTGCTGCCTCATTGGAGTGGTGGGTAGGGGACGGGGTTGTTCCTGAGAGAGACAAGCAAAGAACACAAGGAATGTATTCCAAGAGTACAAGTAATGCTCAATTTACAGCTATAATTGAGCCAGAATTACAGCTGTAAGTCATTACAGTTATTAAATGGGTAACCATGTGACTGTTTGCAGGATTCATTCAGTGAACACCCTACATTCATTAAGCAAATCTATTTTACTCAATTGGCATTTTTTCCCTGAAAACTGGAAATAAATGCCAAAAAAACCAACAAAAAACATCAAAAATTGTCGTCATGTGACTGGAAGCTACTGCAAACTCTGTAAACGTGAGCCAAATGTGAGCCAATTGCCAAGCATCCAAAATCTGATCACATGATCAGGTTGGAGGATGTGATTGATGGAACTGCAAAATTGTGTCGTAAATACCTTTTGGGGAATCTATTATAATCTCAAACAATTGCTAAGCGACCAGTCATTAAGCAAGGACTACCTGTACATACTCTCAATGAAGATCATCCCAGATGCCCAGCTAAAGTAAGCAGGCACCAACATTGAGCAGCATTGATATAGGAAGATGCCAGAGGCAGATGATCACTTTAGCAATAGCAATAGCAATAGCACTTAGACTTATATACCGCTTCATAGTGCTTTACAGCCCTCTCTAAGCAGTTTACAGAGTCACCATATTGCCCCCAACAATCTAGGTCCTCATTTTACCAACCTCGGAAGGATGGAAGGCTGAGTCAACCTTGAGCCCAGTGGGATTCAATCTGCCAAACTGCTGGCAACTGGTGATCAGCAGACGTAGCCTGCAGTACTGCACTCTAACCACTGTGCCACCACTGGGTCTCTTTAGTGATAATGGCAAAGGCTTCAATTCATATTGCATGGGAAGTCAGAGATAAATCCCTCCTGTATTTTAACAAGAAAACCATATGGATAGAAATTTTATTCCATTAATCAATTTTATATGATCACCTGTCTCATTGAAGGTGATTGATAATATAGTGCCAAATGATGGGCCCTCCGGTTGGATGGTGCTCATATGCTACTGAGGAAGAGCAGTGGATCTTTCACTAGTAGCAATAGCACTCAGACTTACCATTTCATAGTGCTTCACAGCACTACAACAATCTGGGTCCTCATTTTACTGACCTCGGAGGGATGGAAGGCTGAGTCAACCTTGAACCACTCAGAGTCGAACTCCTGGAGTAAGCAGTGAGTTAGCCTGCAGTATTGCATTCTAACTACTGCACCACCACGGCTCAGTGGTTATGACATGGCTAGATTAAAACCTTCGGGACATCTAGGGACTGAAGCTGCCACACAGGAAAAGAAAATCTGAAGCAGCAAAGACAGAATTACACTAGGAACATGAAATGTAAGAATTACAGGAAAGCTCAGTACGGTGAAAGATGAAATGAAACGATTACAAATTGACATATTAGGCACCAGCAAATTGAGAGGGACTGAGATGGGACACGTTCAGTCAGAAGATTACACTCTTTATTACCCAGCACATGAAAAACAAAGAAGAAACCGTCTTGCTTTTATGGTGAGAAAGGATATAGCAAGAACAGTATTAGGCTACAACACAATCAGTGATGAAATAATATCGATTCAACTTTGTGGACGATCCTTTCATATGATGATCAATCAATGTAGAAGTAATCAACCTCTTTTTCTTCTACATCAGTGAAATCAATAGAACATGCAAGCAAGATGTGCTGTTTGTGATTGGAAACTGGAGTGCCAAAGTTGGAAATATGAAAGAGGTAAATATAGTTGGATTGTGTGGTTTAGGAAATCAAAATGAAGCAGGAGGCTGACTTATCCATTTCTGCCACTGCAAAGATTTCTTCATAGCTAACAAGATCTTTGAACAACCAAAATGATGCCTCTAGATATGGACATCACTAAATTTAATACATAGAAATCAAATTGATTATATTGTTGCTAAGAGGAGGAGGAAGAGCTCAATTATAGCAGCAAGGCATGGCCAGGAACTGATCACAAATTGCTTATGTGCAAATTCCAGGTTAAGCTAAAGAACATATATCCACCATTTTCAAAGAGAACATTAAGAATAGCTCTGAAGTCTTGCACTTCATTGATAGAGAACCAGAGGAATTCTAAAATGAACTCAAAGAAGGGTTGTTGTTGTTTTTTGGTTTTAAAAAACAAACTTTATTAAATTTAAAAAGATAAAATTATATAAAACATTCACAACCTTAAAATAAAATCAACAAAACTAATCACAACAAACAAACTATACAGTATATATGTAATATATATAAGTACAAATATACACAGTGACTTATTTCCTCTTTTATCTTAATGACGGTGTATAATTATTACTTTTAATTTCTTACTAAATTTTAACTTTTCTGTTGGTTTATCCACTCATACCAACTATCCCATACCTTAAAGTACCGTGAGTCTTCCTTGTCTTTCAATTTCAACGTTAGTCTATCCATTTCTGCACATGTATAAATTTTTTGAATTATTTGCTGCTCCGTTGGCAATTGATCTGTTTTCCAGACTTGTGCTAGGGCTAACCTAGCCGCCGTGATTATATGTAATGTTAGGTACCGAACTCAAAGAAGTTTTTAAGAATGAATGTGAAAAGAGACTGTCAAAAAAGAAAAGAAAAAAAAGCAAACCTGTCAGAACCATGGGAATTGCCAAGAAGAGAAGAAAAGTCAAAGCCAAGAAAGACCAAAACCTCAGAAAGGAACTTAAGGGGTTTCAGAGAGCTGTTAAAAGAAACAAGAAACTGTATTACAGCAACATCTCTAAAGACATTGAAGATGAAAACAGACATGGAAAACAGAAGTCTTTCAAAAGATCTCTGAACTCAGAAAAAGTTCCAGCCTTGAACTAAAAGATGCCAATGGACAAGTAGTAGCAAATTCTAAGGAGACCAGAGGAAGATGGAAGGAACATTACACAGTAGAGATATCAATATCTAAAATACCTTAGATTAGAAGATCTTTTTCACTTACAGGAATGTCTAGTACTAAAAGATGAAATTAAATCTACCTTCTAGTCATTGCCAAGTTAGAAGGTTATAGGAACTGATGGAATACTCACTGAAATATGGCAAGCAGCAGAAGAAGAACTGGTCAAGATTCTAACCAAGCTATTCTAGCAACTCTGAATAATGGCACAGTGGCCAATTGCTGGAATAGGTTAACCTACATTCCAATATAAAAAGGGGGCTTAACAAAGTGTATAAACTATTGTACAATATCCTTCATTGCCACTGTATGGAGAGAACTTTGCAAAACAGAAATGGCTCCAGTTCAGCAAAGAAGTGCAATAAGACTGCATACTCTCTCCTTATTCAACCTATATGCTGAATATATATTAGGGGACAATGGATGAAATTCATGATGATTTAGCCTTAACCCATTCTTTCAAGTCTCCTAATGGTGCACTCATTGTCGCTATAACTGAGATTGTGTGCCTTACTATTGGTTGCCCTTGTCTTCTCTTCTGCCTTTTCCAGCAGGTGGAGCCCTTTCCAGAGGGCCAGGTCTTCGCACAATGCAGAGGTCTTCCAACTTGGCAGCTTTAAGACTTGTGGACTTCAACTCCCAGAATTCTCCAGCATAGCTGGCTGGAGAATTCTGGGAGTTGAAGTCCACAAGTCTTAAAGCTGCCAAGTTGGAAGACCTCTGGCATAATGTGTCTGAAATAAGATAAATTGAACTTGGTTATTTATGCTCAAGAGAAAACTTTGGGTTGATTTGTTTGATGATCCATCGTTTGTTTTCTTGGCTGTCCACAGTATTCTCAGGAGTCTTTTTTTGATTCCAAAGTTCAAAGGCATCAATACTCTTCCTATCCTGCTTTTTAAAAGTCCAGTTTTCACTTCCATAGAGTATCCCAAGGAATACCATGGCTTGCACAATACTGATCTCTGTAGGTATAAAAGTTGCCAAGGTCTTCCTGGCTGCTCTACCAAGTGCTATGGTGTATTTCTTGACTGCTTGGTCCTCTTTTGTTGATGTTTGATCCCAGAAGGCAGAAGTTGTTCACCACTTCAATAACTCCATTGTCAATTCTAAGTCTAGTTGTTCTATCTCTTGTCATTAATTTGATCTTCTTTATATGTAATGTTGTTCAATAGACAGGGTTGGAAGATATCCCAACTATGTCTTCCCTAACAGAAACCAGATGGACTAATAGTTTGACACAACACAAGACAATTTTCTGTGTTACATTGGTAAAAGTTAAGCAGGAAAAAGAATATGAAGGATTATTTTTACTAGTTGAGTACAGGTAATCCTCGACTTACAATAGTTCAAGTTTGAAGTTACAACGGCACTAAAAAGAATGACTTATGACTGTTTTTCATATTTATGACCATTGCAGCATCTCCATGGTAATGTGATTTACATTCGGATAGTTTACAACTGACTCACATTTTTTTTAAAAAAATTGATTTATATGCCGCCCTTCTCCGGAGACTCAGGGCGGCTTACAATGCATTAAGCAATAGCCTTCATACTTTTGTACATTTATACAAAGTCAGCTTATTGCCCCCACAAACTGGGTCCTCATTTCACCTACCTTAGAAAGGATGGAAGGCTGAGTCAACCTTGAGCCTTGGAGAGATTCGAACCAGCAGTAATTGCAGGCAGCTGTGTTAATAACAGGGTGCTTAGACCACTGTACTATCAAGGCCACATTTATGATGGTTGCAGTGTCCCAGACTCATGTGATTTCCTTTTGTGACCTTCTGACAAGCAAAATCAATGGGAAAACCAGATTCACTTAACAATCATGTTTGTAA